CTAACTCCTCAGTAAGGAAAGCCTGCTTCATGTCAGAGTCTCTAAACTCCAGAAGAAGTCGATAAAAGTCACTTTCTTTCTAAAAAAAAAGTCGTTAGGGGGTCTGAAAAGTCATTGAATCTAACAACAAAGTCGCTAGGTTTGCAACTACGTGTCCCAGACTGCATCCCTGCTGAGAGTCCCTCCCTCCCTTCTCATATTGCAGGAAGAACGTAAGCGCCCGCCCCTTGTCAATCAGTCACCATATAATTTTGGATTGGTTGTTGTGGTGAAGTTTTCCACCAATAGGAGAGATGTTGTGGTGTGTTTTTTTTTTTCCTTTGGCAAGCCTTTTCCGCCTGTAAGACCTGTCGCTAATGTCTGCATGCTATGTTTTCCTGTCTCATACAGCGCGATCGAGCGCCGAACGTGATCAAAATAAGCAGAAAAAAAGTATCGCGGACATAATTTATCATAACTCTGGTTTTATTTGGCCTATCAACACAATTTAAAAACTGGTATATAGGTTGAGGTCCTCACTTTTGAGATAAGTTGAAACGGAGTCAACGAGGCTCCGTCTTGCAGCTACATCCGGTTAAATATGTCATGTGACTTGAACGCACACACACACACACACACACACACACACAGACACACACACACACGCACACACACACACTCAGAGTCTGGTTTTTAGCACCTGCAAAAACATGCTATTTACATATTTGACAAGAATGCAGAGGCTCCTTTTGCCCCTGAAAAAAATCAAATTTCAAACACAACTTGACTGGTCATTTCTCCAAAAGACAACCATGAAGCTCCATCCAAACCTGAAGCAGGCAGTTGGTGCATGTGTACAGTAACCTGAGGGGAGTGAGGTGACTGCTTCTGAGGAGAACATGAGCAGTGAAGATTCACCTTAGAGCTAGAACAGAGACGTGCACATGATTATACAGGGGCAGGGGCTCAAGTTTTTTCCAGTTGTTTATACAATATGGAAATTAATGTGAAATTAAAAAACAAAGTATTAATAGAAAGGTAATGACTGTCCTGAGTAGGTGACAGTGATATCCAATAGGCTAGGCACTCAAGAGGCTGGCTGTGGCAAGTGTAAGTGAAAGCAACACGCACTGGCAGGAAGAACAGCAAACGCCGATGAAGGAAAAGGGTCTTTGCAGTGATGGGCGTTACCAGAGAGGGCGATGGCCAGAGGACACAAATGGGACGGGGAGGCAGCGCGTTGGGGGGGGGACGCGACACAGCTCGGGCCCGCCAGTGCCCCAACGGGGTCCTAGTTTCTTCTTTTTCCTCCCCTTTGAACTGGAAAATGGCCCACTTCCCACTGGCGAAAACTCATGAAATTTGGCAGGACGACCGGGCCTGGTGAAAAATTCGATATTCTGAAGTCGCCCAAACAATAAAATGCAAAATGGCTCCATAGCGCCCCCTAAGGTGGAAATTCACACTATTGACTGTCACGCCTGTACGCTTTGTCATATTGACACAAAAATTGACACACATATGTATCTCAATAAGATCTACAAAAAAGTCAGTGCGGGCGTATCTGTCAAATGTACGGTTAAAGGGTTATTGCGCATTTTTTGCCGATCCGCACACATTGGAATTTCGCTAACTCCTCCGAAGGCTTTCGTTCCACCGGCACCACATTTGCTCAGGCCAATCTACACCCCATGGCCATTAAAAGTTATTCAAATCATGACGCTGCACCCCACGGTTTAGGTTCTAGGGGGCGCCAAAGATAACCCTAAAATCCACATATTTAAAAGTCTTATAACTTTTTATTTTTGCCCTCACTGGCCTCCAAGTTTTCTAGGATAATGCAATGTCCAGCCATCAACACATTTGTGAAGGCATTTTTACTCCCCAAAAGAGCGCCCCCCCATGGCAGGAGAAAAAAGTCAATTTTTTCTTGTCCCCTAAGGTGAAAATACACATTGTAGAGTGTCACGCCTGTACGCTTTGTCAAAATGACACAAAATTTGACATACACGTGTATTTCAATAAGATCTACGAAAAAGTCAATGGCCACGTATCTGTAAAATGTACGGTTAAAGGGTTATTTTGCATTTTTTGCAGATCCGCACACATTGGAATGTGGCTAACTCCTCCTAAGGCTTTTGTTCCACTAGCACCACATTTGCTCAGGCCAATCTACACCCCGTGGCCATTAAAAGTTATTAAAATCATGACGCTGCACCCCACGGTTAAGGTTCTAGGGGGCGCCAAAGATAACCCTAAAATCCACATATTTATAAAGTCTTATAACTTTTTATTTTTGTCCTCACTGGCCTCCAAGTTTTCTAGGATGATGCAATGTCCAGCCATCAACACAATTGTGAAGGAATTTTTACTCCCCAAAAGAACGCCCCCCCATGGCAGGAGAAAAAAGTCCATTTTTTCTTGTCCCATAAGGTGAAAATACACATTGTTGACTGTCATACCTGTACGCTTTGTCATATTGACACAAAATTTGACAATCACGTGTATCTCAATAAGATCTACGAAAAAGTCAATGCGCGCGTATCTGTAAAATGTACGGTTAAAGGGTTATTCCGCATTTTTTGCTGATCCGCACACATTGGAATGTGGCCAACTCCTCCTAAGGCTTTCGTTCCACCGGCACCACATTTGCTCAGGCCAATCTACACCCCATGGCCATTAAAAGTTATTCAAATCATGACGCTGCACCCCACGGTTTAGGTTCTAGGGGGCGCCAAAGACAACCCTAAAATCCACATATTTAAAAGTCTTATAACTTTTTATATTTGTCCTCACTGGCCTCCAAGTTTTCTAGGATGATGCAATGTCCAGCCATCAACACATTTGTGAAGGAATTTTTACTCCCCAAAAGAGCGCCCCCCCATGGCAGGAGAAAAAAGTCCATTTTTTCTTGTCCCCTAAGGTGAAAATACATATTGTTGAGATTCACGCCTATACGCTTTGTCATATTGACACAAAATTTGACAATCACGTGCCTTGCCTGGTATCATTTTTTTTCAGCACAACCTCACCTGTGCGAATTTACAGTTATTTTATCATGTTGACATACTGAATTTACACAATGGACCCAAATTCACACACAAAACATAAAATCCGAGTGGAAAAAAGTAACATTTTTACTGTGAAAACCACAAATATGTGTGATGAACTGTTTTTAAAACTTAAACTTCAAATAAAAATTGTAAACTTCAAAACATATGCAAATTTTTAACAAAGAACATAGTGATTTACCTCTATTTACATCAAAATGCAGGCAATGGCCCAGGCGTTCTTTGTAAAATTATTTACAAAACACTGTATAGTCTCACAAATGTCACTTTTTATTTATGCCACTACAAAAAAACATGATGTAAATGATGCATGATGTAAAACATGATGTAAAAAACTTGTGTAGATCCTCCTCTATGTCAGTCCATGTGTAATTTTTCCATAATTCTTTGTTTTTTGCAGCATTTTTGTTAGTGTAACTGCAGATTGTGCTGACAGTGTCTATGGCACAAAAAAAAAAAAATTTTAAAATGCCTCAACATGAACCCCTGGTGGTCTCTGAGGGTGAAACCTGCTAACTGCTGCAGCTCTGTCAGCTTCAGTCTCCCATGCAGAGCTCTGAGCGCATGTGTGGCTCTGCACCCTTAGCAGCGTTGCTAACTCCTCAGTAAGGAAAGCCTGCTTCATGTCAGAGTCTCTAAACTCCAGAAGAAGTCGATAAAAGTCCCTTTCTTTCTAAAAAAAAGTCGTTAGGGGGTCTGAAAAGTCATTGAATCTAACAACAAAGTCGCTAGGTTTGCAACTACGTGTCCCAGACTGCATCCCTGCTGAGAGTCCCTCCCTCCCTTCTCATGTTGCAGGAAGAACGTAAGCGCCCGCCCCTTGTCAATCAGTCACCATATAATTTTGGATTGGTTGTTGTGGTGAAGTTTTCCACCAATAGGAGAGATGTTGTGGTGTGTTTTTTTTTTCTTTTGGCAAGCCTTTTCCGCCTGTAAGACCTGTCGCTAATGTCTGCATGCTATGTTTTCCTGTCTCATACAGCGCGATCGAGCGCCGAACGTGATCAAAATAAGCAGAAAAAAAGTATCGCGGACATAATTTATCATAACTCTGGTTTTATTTGGCCTATCAACACAATTTAAAAACTGGTATATAGGTTGAGGTCCTCACTTTTGAGATAAGTTGAAACGGAGAGTCAACGAGGCTCCGTCTTGCAGCTACATCCGGTTAAATATGTCATGTGACTTGAACGCACACACACACACACACAGACACACACACACACACACACACACACACACACACACACACTCAGAGTCTGTTTTTTAGCACCTGCAAAAACATGCTATTTACATATTTGACAAGAATGCAGAGGCTCCTTTTGCCCCTGAAAAAAATCAAATTTCAAACACAACTTGACTGGTCATTTCTCCAAAAGACAACCATGAAGCTCCATCCAAACCTGAAGCAGGCAGTTGGTGCATGTGTACAGTAACCTGAGGGGAGTGAGGTGACTGCTTCTGAGGAGAACATGAGCAGTGAAGATTCACCTTGGAGCTAGAACAGAGACGTGCACATGATTGTACAGGGGCAGGGCCTCAAGTTTTTTCCAGTCGTTTATACAATATGGAAATTAATGTGAAATTAAAAAACAAAGTATTAATAGAAAGGTAATGACTGTCCTGTGTACGTGACAGTGATATCCAATAGGCTAGGCACTCACGAGGCTGGCTGTGGCAAGTGTAAGTGAAAGCAACACGCACTGGCAGGAAGAACAGCAAACGCCGATGAAGGAAAAGGGTCTTTGCAGTGATGGGCGTTACCAGAGAGGGCGATGGCCAGAGGACACAAATGGGACGGGGAGGCAGCACGTTGGGGGGGGGGGGGGCGACACGGCTCGGGCCCGCCAGTGCCCCAACGGGGTCCTAGTTAGGGCCCGAGCGTAGCTGCTAAGCAGCTGCGAGAGCCCTCTTGTTCCTGCATGTTTCCTTCTTTAGGGCCCGAGCGTAGCTGCTAAGCAGCTGCGAGAGCCCTCTTGTTCCTGTAGTTTCCTTCTTTTGTTATTATTAGGGCCCGAGCGTAGCTGCTAAGCAGCTGCGAGAGCCCTATTATTCCCCAAGTGGTTTTTCTTTGTTTCTTTCTTTCTTCTTTTTCCTCCCCTTTGAACTGGAAAATGGCCCACTTCCCACTGGCGAAAACTCATGAAATTTGGCAGGATGACCGAGCCTGGTGAAAAATTTGATATTCCGAAGTCGCCCAAACAAGAAAATGCAAAATGGCTCCATAGCGCCCCCTAAGGTGAAAATTCACACTATTGACTGTCACGCCTTTACGCTTTGTCAAAATGACACAAAAATTGACACACATATGTATCTCAATAAGATCTACAAAAAAGTCAGTGCGGGCGTATCTGTCAAATGTACGGTTAAAGGGTTATTCTGCATTTTTTGCCGATCCGCACATATTGGAATTTCGCTAACTCCTCCGAAGGCTTTCTTTCCACCGGCACCACATTTGCTCAGGCCAATCTACACCCCATGGCCATTAAAAGTTATTCAAATCATGACGCTGCACCCCACGGTTTAGGTTCTAGGGGGCGCCAAAGATAACCCTAAAATCCACATATTTAAAAGTCTTATAACTTTTTATTTTTGCCCTCACTGGCCTCCAAGTTTTCTAGGATGATGCAATGTCCAGCCATCAACACATTTGTGAAGGAATTTTTACTCCCCAAAAGAGCGCCCCCCCATGGCAGGAGAAAAAAGTCAATTTTTTCTTGTCCCGTAAGGTGAAAATTCACATTGTTGAGTGTGACACCTGTACGCTTTGTCATATTGACACAAAATTTGACAATCACGTGTATCTCAATAAGATCTACGAAAAAGTCAATGGGTGCGTATCTGTCAAATGTACGGTTAAAGGGTTATTCCGCATTTTTTGCTGATCCGCACACATTGGAATTTCGCTAACTCCTCCTAAGGCTGGCGTTCCACCGGCACCACATTTGCTCAGGCCAATCTACACCCCATGGCCATTAAAAGTTATTCAAATCATGACGCTGCACCCCACGGTTTAGGTTCTAGGGGGCGCCAAAGATAACCCTAAAATCCACATATTTCAAAGTCTTATAACTTTTTATTTTTGTCCTCACTGGCCTCCAAGTTTTCTAGGATGATGCAATGTCCAGCCATCAACACATTTGTGAAGGAATTTTTACTCCCCAAAAGAGCGCCCCCCCATGGCAGGAGAAAAAAGTCAATTTTTTCTTGTCCCGTAAGGTAAAAATTCACATTGTTGAGTGTGACACCTGTACGCTTTGTCATATTGACACAAAATTTGACAATCACGTGTATCTCAATAAGATCTACGAAAAAGTCAATGGGTGCGTATCTGTCAAATGTACGGTTAAAGGGTTATTCCGCATTTTTTGCTGATCCGCACACATTGGAATTTCGCTAACTCCTCCTAAGGCTGGCGTTCCACCGGCACCACATTTGCTCAGGCCAATCTACACCCCATGGCCATTAAAAGTTATTCAAATCATGACGCTGCACCCCACGGTTTAGGTTCTGGGGGGCGCCAAAGATAACCCTAAAATCCACATATTTCAAAGTCTTATAACTTTTTATTTTTGTCCTCACTGGCCTCCAGGTTTTCTAGGATGATGCAATGTCCAGCCATCAACACATTTGTGAAGGAATTTTTACTCCCCAAAAGAGCGCCCCCCCATGGCAGGAGAAAAAAGTCAATTTTTTCTTGTCCCCTAAGGTGAAAATACACATTGTTGAGTGTCACGCCTGTACGCTTTGTCATATTGACACAAAATTTGACACACACATGTATCTCAATAAGATCTACGAAAAAGTCAATGCGCGCGTATCTGTCAAACGTACGGTTAAAGGGTTATTCCGCATTTTTTGCTGATCCGCACACATTGGAATTTCGCTAACTCCTCCTAAGGCTGGCGTTCCACCGGCACCACATTTGCTCAGGCCAATCTACACCCCATGGCCATTAAAAGTTATTCAAATCATGACGCTGCACCCCACGGTTTAGGTTCTAGGGGGCGCCAAAGATAACCCTAAAATCCACATATTTCAAAGTCTTATAACTTTTTATTTTTGTCCTCACTGGCCTCCAAGTTTTCTAGGATGATGCAATGTCCAGCCATCAACACATTTGTGAAGGAATTTTTACTCCCCAAAAGAGCGCCCCCCATGGCAGGAGAAAAAAGTCAATTTTTTCTTGTCCCGTAAGGTGAAAATTCACATTGTTGAGTGTGACACCTGTACGCTTTGTCATATTGACACAAAATTTGACAATCACGTGTATCTCAATAAGATCTACGAAAAAGTCAATGGGTGCGTATCTGTCAAATGTACGGTTAAAGGGTTATTCCGCATTTTTTGCTGATCCGCACACATTGGAATTTCGCTAACTCCTCCTAAGGCTGGCGTTCCACCGGCACCACATTTGCTCAGGCCAATCTACACCCCATGGCCATTAAAAGTTATTCAAATCATGACGCTGCACCCCACGGTTTAGGTTCTGGGGGGCGCCAAAGATAACCCTAAAATCCACATATTTCAAAGTCTTATAACTTTTTATTTTTGTCCTCACTGGCCTCCAGGTTTTCTAGGATGATGCAATGTCCAGCCATCAACACATTTGTGAAGGAATTTTTACTCCCCAAAAGAGCGCCCCCCCATGGCAGGAGAAAAAAGTCAATTTTTTCTTGTCCCCTAAGGTGAAAATACACATTGTTGAGTGTCACGCCTGTACGCTTTGTCATATTGACACAAAATTTGACACACACATGTATCTCAATAAGATCTACGAAAAAGTCAATGCGCGCGTATCTGTCAAATGTACGGTTAAAGGGTTATTCCGCATTTTTTGCTGATCCGCACACATTGGAATTTCGCTAACTCCTCCTAAGGCTGGCGTTCCACCGGCACCACATTTGCTCAGGCCAATCTACACCCCATGGCCATTAAAAGTTATTCAAATCATGACGCTGCACCCCACGGTTTAGGTTCTAGGGGGCGCCAAAGATAACCCTAAAATCCACATATTTCAAAGTCTTATAACTTTTTATTTTTGTCCTCACTGGCCTCCAAGTTTTCTAGGATGATGCAATGTCCAGCCATCAACACATTTGTGAAGGAATTTTTACTCCCCAAAAGAGCGCCCCCCCATGGCAGGAGAAAAAAGTCAATTTTTTCTTGTCCCGTAAGGTGAAAATTCACATTGTTGAGTGTGACACCAGTACGCTTTGTCATATTGACACAAAATTTGACAATCACGTGTATCTCAATAAGATCTACGAAAAAGTCAATGGGTGCGTATCTGTCAAATGTACGGTTAAAGGGTTATTCCGCATTTTTTGCTGATCCGCACACCCCATGGCCATTCAAAGTTGTAAAAATCATGACGCTGCACCCCACGGTTTACGTTCTAGGGGGCGCCAAAGATGACCAAAAAATCCACATTCTTAAAAGAATCCACATTCTCCCCCCCCCCCCATGGCAGGAGAAAAAGTCAAGTTTTTCCTGCCCATCGCTCAATGGCTCAATCGCATCGCTCTCCAGGCAACACCGTAACAAGGAGCAACCTGCCATTTGGATATATCCCAGCTGTGTTTGTGCCCTCACTCATGGTCCAGACTTTTTTCAAATAGGACATGAAGTTTGTCTGCAGCGAGTGTTTTGGTAGAAACTGCGCCTCCCATTCATTATAATGGGAAATGACCACAGACAAGTGCGCACACCATCTTTGGACCTTGAGTGTGACGCGATCGGGAGGGGGAGGCGGTCACGCTGGGGGCGGCACGACGCGGCTCGGGCCCGACAGTGCCCCACCGGGGCCCTAGTTATTAGGGCCCGAGCCAGCTGCAGAGCAGCCGGGCGTAGGCCCTGTTATTCCTGTAGGGGTTTTTCTTTGTTTCTTTCTTTCTTCTTTTTCCTCCCCTTTGAACTGGAAAATGGCCCACTTCCCACTGGCGAAAACTCATGAAATTTGGCAGGACGACCGGGCCTGGTGAAAAATTCGATATTCTGAAGTCGCCCAAACAATAAAATGCAAAATGGCTCCATAGCGCCCCCTAAGGTGGAAATTCACACTATTGACTGTCACGCCTGTACGCTTTGTCATATTGACACAAAAATTGACACACATATGTATCTCAATAAGATCTACAAAAAAGTCAGTGCGGCCGTATCTGTCAAAATTACGGTTAAAGGGTTATTTCGCATTTTTTGCCGATCCGCACACATTGGAATTTCGCTAACTCCTCCGAAGGCTTTCGTTCCACCGGCACCACATTTGCTCAGGCCAATCTACACCCCGTGGCCATTAAAAGTTATCAAAATCATGACGCTGCACCCCAAGGTTTAGGTTCTAGGGGGCGCCAAAGATAACACTAAAATCCACATATTTAAAAGTCTTATAACTTTTTATTTTTGTCCTCACTGGCCTCCAAGTTTTCTAGGATGATGCAATGTCCAGCCATCAACACATTTGTGAAGGAATTTTTACTCCCCAAAAGAGCGCCCCCCATGGCAGGAGAAAAAAGTCCATTTTTTCTTGTCCCCTAAGGTGAAAATACACATTGTTGAGTGTCAAGCCTATACGCTTTGTCAAAATGACACAAAAATTGACACACACATGTAACTCAATAAGATCTACAAAAAAGTCCATGCGCGCGTATCTGTCAAATGTACAGTTAAAGGGTTATTCCGCATTTTTTGCCGATACGCACACATTGGAATTTCGCTAACTCCTCCGAAGGCTTTCGTTCCACCGGCACCACATTTGCTCAGGCCAATCTACACCCCATGGCCATTAAAAGTTATTCAAATCATGATGCTGCACCCCATGGTTTAGGTTCTAGGGGGCGCCAAAAATAACCCAAAAATCCACATTCTTAAATGTTTTATAACTTTTTATTTTTGTCCTCACTGGCCTCCAAGTTTTCTAGGATGATGCAATGTCCAGCCATCAACACATTTGTGAAGGAATTTTTACTCCCCAAAAGAGCGCCCCCCCATGGTAGGAGAAAAAAGTCAATTTTTTCTTGTCCCCTTACATAAAAATACACATTGTTGAGTGTCACGCCTGAACGCTTTGTCATATTGACACAAAAATTGACAATCATGTGTATCTCAATTAGATCTACGAAAAAGTCAAAGAGCGCGTATCTGTATAATGTACGGTTAAAGGGCTATTTTGCATTTTTTGCCGATTCGCACACATTGGAATGTGGCTATCTCCTCCTAAGGCTTTCGTCCCACCGATACCAAATTTGCTCAGGGCAATCTACACCCCATGCCCATTCAAAGTTGTAAAAATCATGACGCTGCACCCCACGGTTTACGTTCTAGGGGGCGCCAAAGATGACCCAAAAATCCACATTCTTAAAAGTCATTTTGGCCACTGCAGGAGTACAGAGTACTGCAGTTCTAGGGGGCGCCAAAGATGACCCAAAAATCCACATTCTTAAAAGTCTTTTTGGCCACTGCAGGAGTACAGAGTACTGCAGGATACACACACATATACACACACGCCAACATACACACACACACACACACACACACACACACACACACACACACACACAGACACACACCCACACTCAGAGTCTGGTTTTTAGCACCTGCAAAAACATGCTGTTTACATATTTGACAAGAATGCAGAGGCTTCCTTTTGCCCCTGAAAAAAATCAAATTTCAAACACAACTTGACTGTTCATTTCTCCAAAAGACAACCATGAAGCTCCATTTCAAACCTGAAGCAGATAGTTGGTGCATGTGTACAGTAACCTGAGGGGAGTGAGGTGACTATTTCTGAGGAGAACATGAGCAGTGAAGATTCACCTTGGAGCTAGAACAGGGACGTGCACATGATTATACAGGGGCAGGGGCTCAAGTTTTTTCCAGTCATTTATACAATATGGAAATTAATGTGAAATTAAACCACAAATATGTGTGATGAACTGTTTTTAAAACTTAAACTTCAAATAAAAATTGTAAACTTCAAAACATATGCAAATTTTTAACAAAGAACATAGTAATTTACCTCTATTTACATCAAAATGCAGGCAATGGCCCAGGCGTTCTTTGTAAAATTATTTACAAAACACTGTATAGTCTCACAAATGTCACTTTTTATTTATGCCACTACAAAAAAACATGATGTAAATGATGCATGATGTAAAACATGATGTAAAAAACTTGTGTAGATCCTCCTCTATGTCAGTCCATGTGTAATTTTTCCATAATTCTTTGTTTTTTGCAGCATTTTTGTTAGTGTAACTGCAGATTGTGCTGACAGTGTCTATGGCACACAAAAAAAAAAAAATTTTTAATGCCTCAACATGAACCCGTGGTGGTCTCTGAGGGTGAAACCTGCTAACTGCTGCAGCTCTGTCAGCTTCAGTCTCCCATGCAGAGCTCTGAGCGCATGTGTGGCTCTGCACCCTTAGCAGCGTTGCTAACTCCTCAGTATGGAAAGCCTGCTTCATGTCAGAGTCTCTAAACTCCAGAAGAAGTCGATAAAAGTCCCTTTCTTTCTAAAAAAAGTCGTTAGGGGGTCTGAAAAGTCATTGAATCTAACAACAAAGTCGCTAGGTTTGCAACTACGTGTCCCAGACTGCATCCCTGCTGAGAGTCCCTCCCTCCCTTCTCATGTTGCAGGAAGAACGTAAGCGCCCCCCTTGTCAATCAGTCACCATATAATTTTGGATTGGTTGTTGTGGTGAAGTTTTCCACCAATAGGAGAGATGTTGTGGTGTGTTTTTTTTTCTTTTGGCAAGCCTTTTCCGCCTGTAAGAACTGTCGCTAATGTCTGCATGCTATGTTTTCCTGTCTCATACAGCGCGATCGAGCGCCGAACGTGATCAAAATAAGCAGAAAAAAAATATCGCGGACATAATTTATCATAACTCTGGTTTTATTTGGCCTATCAACACAATTTAAAAACTGGTATATAGGTTGAGGTCCTCACTTTTGAGATAAGTTGAAACGGAGAGTCAACGAGGCTCCGTCTTGCAGCTACATCCGGTTAAATATGTCATGTGACTTGAACGCACACACAGACACACACACACGCACACACACACACACACACACACACACACACACACACACACACACACACTCAGAGTCTGGTTTTTAGCACCTGCAAAAACATGCTATTTACATATTTGACAAGAATGCAGAGGCTCCTTTTGCCCCTGAAAAAAATCAAATTTCAAACACAACTTGACTGGTCATTTCTCCAAAAGACAACCATGAAGCTCCATCCAAACCTGAAGCAGGCAGTTGGTGCATGTGTACAGTAACCTGAGGGGAGTGAGGTGAGTGCTTCTGAGGAGAACATGAGCAGTGAAGATTCACCTTGGAGCTAGAACAGAGACATGCACATGATTATACAGGGGCAGGGGCTCAAGTTTTTCCAGTCGTTTATACAATATGGAAATTAATGTGAAATTAAAACACAAAGTATTAATAGAAAGGTAATGACTGTCCTGTGTAGGTGACAGTGATATCCAATAGGCTAGGCACTCACGAGGCTGGCTGTGGCAAGTGTAAGTGAAAGCAACACGCACTGGCAGGAAGAACAGCAAACGCCGATGAAGGAAAAGGGTCTTTGCAGTGATGGGCGTTACCAGAGAGGGCGATGGCCAGAGGACACAAATGGGACGGGGAGGCAGCACGGGGGGGGGACGCGACACGGCTCGGGCCCGCCAGTGCCCCAACGGGGTCCTAGTTATTATTTTTCCTCCCCTTTGAACTGGAAAATGGCCCACTTCCCACTGGCGAAAACTCATGAAATTTGGCAGGACGACCGGGCCTGGTGAAAAATTTGATATTCCGAAGTCGCCCAAACAAGAAAATGCAAAATGGCTCCATAGCGCCCCCTAAGGTGAAAATTCACACTATTCACTGTCACGCCGGTACGCTTTGTCAAAATGACACAAAAATTGACACACACATGTATCTCAATAAGATCTACAAAAAAGTCAGTGCGGGCGTGTCTGTCAAATGTACGGTTAAAGGGTTATTTCGCATTTTTTGCCGATCCGCACACATTGGAATTTCGCTAACTCCTCCGAAGGCTTTCGTTCCACCGGCACCAAATTTGCTCAGGCCAATCTACACCCCATGGCCATTAAAAGTTATTCAAATCATGACGCTGCACCCCACGGTTTAGGTTCTAGGGGGCGCCAAAGATAACCCTAAGATCCACATATTTAAAAGTCTTATAACTTTTTATTTTTGCCCTCACTGGCCTCCAAGTTTTCTAGGATGATGCAATGTCCAGCCATCAACACATTTGTGAAGGAATTTTTACTCCCCAAAAGAGCGCCCCCCATGGCAGGAGAAAAAAGTCCATTTTTTCTTGTCCCCTAAGGTGAAAATACACATTGTTGAGTGTAACACCTGTACGCTTTGGCAAAATGACACAAAAATTGACATACACATGTATCTCAATAAGATCTACGAAAAAGTCAATGCGCGCGTATCTGTCAAATGTACAGTTAAAGGGTTATTCCGCATTTTTTGCCGATCCGCACACATTGGAATTTCGCTAACTCCTCCGAAGGCTTTTGTTCCACCGGCACCACATTTGCTCAGGCCAATCTACACCCCATGGCCATTAAAAGTTATTCAAATCATGACGCTGCACCCCACGGTTTAGGTTCTAGGGGGCGCCAAAGATAACCCTAAAATCCACATATTTAAAAGTCTTATAACTTTTTATTTTTGTCCCCACTGGCCTCCAAGTTTTCTAGGATGATGCAATGTCCAGCCATCAACACATTTGTGAAGGAATTTTTACTCGCCAAAAGAGCGCCCCCCCATGGCAGGAGAAAAAAGTCCATTTTTTCTTGTCCACTAAGGTGAAAATACACATTGTTGAGTGCTACGCCTGTATGTTTTGTCGTATTGACACAAAATTTTACATACACGTGTATTTCAATAAGATCTTCGAAAAAGTCAATGGCCACGTATCTGTAAAATGTACGGTTAAAGGGTTATTTCGCATTTTTTGCAGATTCGCACACATTGGAATTTCGCTAACTCCTCCGAAGGCTTTCGTTCCACCGGCACCACATTTGCTCAGGCCAATCTACACCCCATGGCCATTAAAAGTTATTCAAATCATGACGCTGCACCCCACGGTTTAGGTTCTAGGGGGCGCCAAAGATAACCCTAAAATCCACATATTTAAAAGTCTTATAACTTTTTATTTTTGTCCCCACTGGCCTCCAAGTTTTCTAGGATGATGCAATGTCCAGCCATCAACACATTTGTGAAGGAATTTTTACTCGCCAAAAGAGCGCCCCCCCATGGCAGGAGAATAAAGTCAAGTTTTTCCTGTTCATCATTCAATGGCTCAAACGCACTGCTCTCTCGGCAAAAGCGAAAAGAGGAGCAACTTGCCATTTGGATATATCTTAGCTGTGTTTGTGCCTTCACTCATGGTCCAGACTTTTTTCAAATAGGACATGGAGTTTTTCTGCAGCGAGCGTTTTGGTAGAAACTGCGCCTCCCGTTCATTATAATGGTAAATGACCACAAACAAGTGCGCACACCATCTTTGGACCTTGAGTGTGACGCGATCGGGTGGGGGAGGCGGTCCCGCTGGGGGCGGCGTGACACGGCTCGGGCCCGCCAGTGCCCCAACGGGGCCCTAGTTTGTTATTATTATTATTTTTCCTCCCCTTTAAACTGGAAAATGGCCCACTTCCCACTGGCGAAAACTCATGAAATTTGGCAGGACGACCGGGCCTGGTGAAAAATTTGATATTCTGAAGTCGCCCAAACAATAAAATGCAAAATGGCTCCATAGCGCCCCCTAAGGTGGAAATTCACACTATTGACTGTCACGCCTGTACGCTTTGTCAAAATGACACAAAAATTGACACACACATGTATCTCAATAAGATCTACAAAAAAGTCAGTGCGGGCGTATCTGTCAAATGTACGGTTAAAGGGTTATTGCGCATTTTTTGCCGATCCGCACACATTGGAATTTCGCTAACTCCTCCGAAGGCTTTCGTTCCACCGGCACCACATTTGCTCAGGCCAATCTACACCCCATGGCCATTAAAAGTTATTCAAATCATGACGCTGCACCCCACGGTTTAGGTTCTAGGGGGCGCCAAAGATAACCCTAAAATCCACATATTTAAAAGTCTTATAACTTTTTATTTTTGTCCTCTCTGGCCTCCAAGTTTTCTAGGATGATGCAATGTCCAGCCATCAACACATTTGTGAAGGAATTTTGACTCCCCAAAAGAGCGCCCCCCCATGGCAGGAGAAAAAAGTCCATTTTTTCTTGTCCCCTAAGGTGAAAATACACATTGTTGAGTGTCACGCCTCTACACTTTGTCAAAATGACACAACATTTGACACACAGGTCTATCTCAATAAGATCTACGAAAAAGTCAATGCGGGCGTATCTGTCAAATGTACGGTTAAAGGGCTATTTCGCATTTTTTGGCGATCCGTACAGATTGGAATTTCGCTAACTCCTCCAAAGGCTTTTGTTCCACCGGCACCACATTTGCTCAGGCCAATCTACACCCCATGGCCATCAAAAGTTATTCAAATCATGACGCTGCACCCCACGGTTTAGGTTCTAGGGGGCGCTGAGGATAACCCAAAAATCCACATTTTTAAAAGTCTTATAACTTTTCATTTTTGTCCTCACTGGCCTCCAAGTTTTCTAGGATGATGCAATGTCCAGCCATCAACACATTTGTGAAGGAATTTTTACTCCCCAAAAGAGCGCCCCCCCATGGCAGGAGAAAAAAGTCAATTTTTTCTTGTCCCCTAAGGTGAAAATTCACATTGTTGAGTGTGACACCTGTACGCTTTGTCATATTGACACAAAAATTGACATACACATGTATCTCAATAAGATCTACGAAAAAGTCAATGCGCGCGTATCTGTAAAATGTACGGTTAAAGGGCTATATTGCATTTTTTGCCGATTCGCACACATTGGAATGTGGCTAACTCCTCCTAAGGCTTTCGTCTCACTGACACCAAATTTGCTGAGGCCAATCTACACCCCATGGCCATTCAAAGTTGTAAAAATCATGATGCTGCACCCCACGGTTTACGTTCTAGGGGGCGCCAAAGATGACCCAAAAATCCACATTCTTAAAAGAATCCACATCCCCCCCCCCCCATGGCAGGAGAAAAAGTCAAGTTTTTCCTGCCCATCGCTCAATGGCTCAATCGCATCGCTCTCCAGGCAACACCGTAAGGAGGAGCAACCTGCCATTTGGATATATCCTAGCTGTGTTTGTGCCCTCACTCATGGTCCAGCCTTTTTTCATATAGGACATGAAGTTTGTCTGCAGCGAGTGTTTTGGTAGAAACTGCGCCTCCCATTCATTATAATGGGAAATGACCACAGACAAGTGCGCACACCATCTTTGGACCTTGAGTGTGATGCGATCGGGAGGGGAGGCGGTCGCACTGGGGGCGGCGCGACACGGCTCGGGCCCGACAGTGCCCCACCGGGGCCCTAGTTATTATTTTTCCTCCCCTTTGAACTGGAAAATGGCCCACTTCCCACCCGCGAAAACTCATGAAATTTGGCAGGACGACCGGGCCTGGTGAAAAATTTGATATTCCGAAGTCGCCCAAACAAGAAAATGCAAAATGGCTCCATAGCGCCCCCTAAGGTGAAAATTCACACTATTGACTGTCACGCCTGTACGCTTTGTCAAAATGACACAAAAATTGACACACACATGTATCTCAATAAGATCTACAAAAAAGTCAGTGCGGGCGTATCTGTCAAATGTACGGTTAAAGGGTTATTTCGCATTTTTTGCCGATCCGCACACATTGGAATTTCGCTAACTCCTCCGAAGGCTTTCGTTCCACCGGCACCACATTTGCTCAGGCCAATCTACACCCCATGGCCATTAAAAGTTATTCAAATCATGACGCTGCACCCCACGGTTTAGGTTCTAGGGGGCGCCAAAGATAACCCTAAGATCCACATATTTAAAAGTCTTATAACTTTTTATTTTTGCCCTCACTGGCCTCCAAGTTTTCTAGGATGATGCAATGTCCAGCCATCAACACATTTGTGAAGGAATTTTTACTCCCCAAAAGAGCGCCCCCCATGGCAGGAGAAAAAAGTCCATTTTTTCTTGTCCCCTAAGGTGAAAATACACATTGTTGAGTGTAACACCTGTACGCTTTGGCAAAATGACACCAAAATTGAGACACACATGTATCTCAATAAGATCTACAAAAAAGTCAATGCGCACGTATCTGTCAAATGTACGGTTAAAGGGTTATTCCGCATTTTTTGCCGATCCGCACACATTGGAATTTCGCTAACTCCTCCGAAGGCTTTCGTTCCACCGGCACCACATTTTCTCAGGCCAATCTACACCCCATGGCCATTAAAAGTTATTCAAATCATGACGCTGCACCCCACGGTTTAGGTTCTAGGGGGCGCCAAAGATAACCGTAAAATCCACATATTTAAAAGTCTTATAACTTTTTATTTTTGTCCCCACTGGCCTCCAAGTTTTCTAGGATGATGCAATGTCCAGCCATCAACACATTTGTGAAGGAATTTTTACTCGCCAAAAGAGCGCCCCCCCATGGCAGGAGAAAAAAGTCCATTTTTTCTTGTCCACTAAGGTGAAAATACACATTGTTGAGTGCTACGCCTGTATGTTTTGTCGTATTGACACAAAATTTTACATACACGTGTCTTTCAATAAGATCTTCGAAAAAGTCAATGGCCACGTATCTGTAAAATGTACGGTTAAAGGGTTATTTCGCATTTTTTGCAGATTCGCACACATTGGAATTTCGCTAACTCCTCCGAAGGCTTTCGTTCCACCGGCACCACATTTGCTCAGGCCAATCTACACCCCATGGCCATTAAAAGTTATTCAAATCATGACGCTGCACCCCACGGTTTAGGTTCTAGGGGGCGCCAAAGATAACCCTAAAATCCACATATTTAAAAGTCTTATAACTTTTTATTTTTGTCCTCACTGGCCTCCATGTTTTCTAGGATGATGCAATGTCCAGCCATCAACACATTTGTGAAGGAGTTTTTTCTCGTTAAAAGAGCGCCCCCCCATGGCAGGAGAATAAAGTCAAGTTTTTCCTGTTTATCATTCAATGGCTCAAACGCACTGCTCTCTCGGCAAAAGCGAAAGGAGGAGCAACTTGCCATTTGGATATATCTTAGCTGTGTTTGTGCCCTCACTCATGGTCCAGACTTTTTTCAAATAGGACATGGAGTTTTTCTGCAGCGAGCGTTTTGGTAGAAACTGCGCCTCCCGTTCATTATAATGGTAAATGACCACAAACAAGTGCGCACACCATCTTTGGACCTTGAGTGTGACGCGATCGGGTGGGGGAGGCGGTCGTGCTGGGGGCGGCGTGACACGGCTCGGGCCCGCCAGTGCCCCAACGGGGCCCTAGTTGTTTCTTTCTTAGGGCCCGAGCGTAGCTGCTAAGCAGCTGCGAGAGCCCTCTTGTTCCTGTAGTTTCCTTCTTTTGTTAGGGCCCGAGCCAGCTGCAGAGCAGCCGGGCGTAGAGCCCTATTATTCCTGTATAGGTTTTTCTTTCTTCTTTCTTTCTTTCTTTAGGGCCCGAGCGTAGCTGCTAAGCAGCTGCGAGAGCCCTATTATTCCCCAAGTGGTTTTTCTTTGTTTCTTTCTTTCTTTCTTTCTTCTTTTTCCTCCCCTTTGAACTGGAAAATGGCCCACTTCCCACTGGCGAAAACTCATGAAATTTGGCAGGACGACCGGGCCTGGTGAAAAATTCGATATTCTGAAGTCGCCCAAACAATAAAATGCAAAATGGCTCCATAGCGCCCCCTAAGGTGGAAATTCACACTATTGACTGTCACGCCTGTACGCTTTGTCATATTGACACAAAAATTGACACACATATGTATCTCAATAAGATCTACAAAAAAGTCAGTGCGGCCGTATCTGTCAAAATTACGGTTAAAGGGTTATTTCGCATTTTTTGCCGATCCGCACACATTGGAATTTCGCTAACTCCTCCGAAGGCTTTCGTTCCACCGGCACCACATTTGCTCAGGCCAATCTACACCCCGTGGCCATTAAAAGTTATCAAAATCATGACGCTGCACCCCAAGGTTTAGGTTCTAGGGGGCGCCAAAGATAACACTAAAATCCACATATTTAAAAGTCTTATAACTTTTTATTTTTGTCCTCACTGGCCTCCAAGTTTTCTAGGATGATGCAATGTCCAGCCATCAACACATTTGTGAAGGAATTTTTACTCCCCAAAAGAGCGCCCCCCCATGGCAGGAGAAAAAAGTCCATTTTTTCTTGTCCCCTAAGGTGAAAATACACATTGTTGAGTGTCACGCCTATACGCTTTGTCAAAATGACACAAAAATTGACACACACATGTAACTCAATAAGATCTACGAAAAAGTCAATGCGCGCGTATCTGTCAAATGTACGGTTAAAGGGTTATTTTGCATTTTTTGCCGATGCGCACACATTGGAATTTCGCTAACTCCTCCGAAGGCTTTCGTTCCACCGGCACCACATTTGCTCAGGCCAATCTACACCCCATGGCCATTAAAAGTTATTCAAATCATGATGCTGCACCCCACGGTTTAGGTTCTAGGGGGCGCCAAATATAACCCTAAAATCCACATATTTAAAAGTCTTATAACTTTTTATTTTTGTCCTCACTGGCCTCCAAGTTCTCTAGGATGATGCAATGTCCAGCCATCAACACATTTGTGAAGGAATTTTTACTCCCCAAAAGAGCGTCCCCCCATGGCAGGAGAAAAAAGTCCATTTTTTCTTGTCCCCTAAGGTGAAAATACATATTGTTGAGTGCCACGCCTGTACGCTTTGTCATATTGACACAAAATTTGACAATCACGTGTGTCTCAATAACATCTACGAAAAAGTCAATGCATGCGTATCTGTAAAATGTACGGTTAAAGGGCTATTTTGCATTTTTTGCCGATTCGCACACATTGGAATGTGGCTAACTCCTCCTAAGGCTTTCGTCCCACTGACACCAAATTTGCTCAGGCCAATCTACACCCCATGGCCATTCAAAGTTGTAAAAATCATGACGCTGCACCCCACGGTTTAGGTTCTAGGGGGCGCCAAAGATGACCCAAATATCCACATTCTTAAAAGAATCCACACCCCCCCCATCCCCCATCCCCCATGGCAGGAGAAACAGTCAAGTTTTTCCTGCCCATCACTCAATGGCTCAATCGCATCGCTCTCCCGGCAACACCGTAACGAGGAGCAACTTGCCGTTTGGATATATCCTAGCTGTGTTTGTGCCCTCACTCATGGTCCAGACTTTTTTCAAATAGGACATGTAGTTTGTCTGCAGCGAGTGTTTTGGTAGAAACTGCGCCTCCCATTCATTATAATGGGAAATGACCACAGACAAGTGCGCACACCATCTTTGGACCTTGAGTGTGACGCGATCGGGGGGGGGAGGCAGTCGCGCTGGGGGCGGCGCGACGCGGCTCGGGCCCGACAGTGCCCCACCGGGGCCCTAGTTCTTCTTATTTTTCCTCCCCTTTGAAGGGGAAAATGGCCCACTTCCCACTGGCGAAAACTCATGAAATTTTGCAGGACGACCGGGCCTGGTGAAAAATTCGATATTCTGAAGTCGCCCAAACAATAAAATGCAAAATGGCTCCATAGCGCCCCCTAAGGTGAAAATTTACACTATTGACTGTCACGCCTGTACGCTTTGTCATATTGACACAAAAATTGACACACACATGTATCTCAATAAGATCTACCAAAAAGTCAGTGCGGGCGTATCTGTCAAATGTACGATTCAAGGGTTATTTTGCATTTTTTGCAGATCCTAACACATTGGAATTTCGCTAACTCCTCCGAAGGCTTTTGTTCCACCGGCACCACATTTGCTCAGGCCAATCTACACCCCATGGCCATTAAAAGTTGTACAAATCATGACGCTGCAACCCACGGTTTAGGTTCTAGGGGGCGCCAAAGATAACCCAAATATCCACATTCTTAAAAGTCTTATAACTTTTTATTTTTGTCCTCACTGGCCTCCAAGTTTTCTAGGATGATGCAATGTCCAGCCATAAACACATTTGTGAAGGAATTTTTACTCCCCAAAAGAGCGCCCCCCCATGGCAGAAGAAAAAAGTCCATTTTTTCTTGTCCCCTAAGGTGAAAATACACATTGTTGACGGTCAAGCCTATACGCTTTGTCAAAATGACACAAAATTTTACACACATGTATCTCAATAAGATCTACAAAAAAGTCAGTGCGGGCGTATCTATCAAATGTACGGTTAAAGGGTTATTGCGCATTTTTTGCCGATCCGCACACATTGGAATTTCGCTAACTCCTCCGAAGGCTTTCGTTCCACCGGCACCACATTTGCTCAGGCCAATCTACACCCCATGGCCATTAAAAGTTATTCAAATCATGACGCTGCACCCCACGGTTTAGGTTCTAGGGGGCGCCAAAGATAACCCTAAAATCCACATATTTCAAAGTCTTATAACTTTTTATTTTTGCCCTCACTGGCCTCCAAGTTTTCTAGGATGATGCAATGTCCAGCCATCAACACATTTGTGAAGGAATTTTTACTCCCCAAAAGAGCGCCCCCCCATGGCAGGAGAAAAAAGTCCATTTTTTCTTGTCCCATAAGGTGAAAATTCACACTATTGACTGTCACGCCTGTACGCTTTGTCAAAATTACACAAAAATTGACACACACATGTATCTCAATAAGATCTACAAAAAAGTCAGTGCTGGCGTATCTGTCAAATGTACGGTTAAAGGGTTATTGCGCATTTTTTGCTGATCCGCACACATTGGAATTTCGCTAACTCCTCCGAAGGCTTTTGTTCCACCGGCACCACATTTGCTCAGGCCAATCTACACCCCATGGCCATTAAAAGTTATTCAAATCATGACGCTGCACCCCACGGTTTAGGTTCTAGGGGGCGCCAAAGATAACCCTAAAATCCACATATTTAAAAGTCTTATAACTTTTTATTTTTGTCCTCTCTGGCCTCCAAGTTTTCTAGGATGATGCAATGTCCAGCCATCAACACATTTGTGAAGGAATTTTTACTCCCCAAAAGAGCGCCCCCCCATGGCAGGAGAAACAAAGTCCATTTTTTCTTGTCCCATAAGGTGAAAATACACATTGTTGACTGTCATACCTGTATGCTTTGTCATATTGACACAAAATTTGACACACACATGTATCTCAATAAGATCTACGAAAAAGTCAATGCGCGCGTATCTGTCAAATGTACGGTTAAAGGGCTATTTTGCATTTTTTGCCGATTAGCACACATTGGAATGTGGCCAACTCCTCCTAAGGCTTTCGTCCCACTGACACCAAATTTGCTCAGGCCAATCTACACCCCATGGCCATTCAAAGTTTTAAAAATCATGACGCTGCACCCCACGGTTTACGTTCTAGGGGGCGCCAAAGATGACCCAAATATCCACATTCTTAAAAGAATCCACATCCCCCCCCCCCCCCATCCCCCATCCCCCATCCCCCATGGCAGGAGAAACAGTCAAGTTTTTCCTGCCCATCACTCAATGGCTCAATCGCATCGCTCTCCCGGCAACACCGTAACGAGGAGCAACTTGCCGTTTGGATATATCCTAGCTGTGTTTGTGCCCTCACTCATGGTCCAGACTTTTTTCAAATAGGACATGTAGTTTGTCTGCAGCGAGTGTTTTGGTAGAAACTGCGCCTCCCATTCATTATAATGGGAAATGACCACAGACAAGTGCGCACACCATCTTTGGACCTTGAGTGTGACGCGATCGGGAGGGGGAGGCGGTCGCACTGGGGGCGGCGCAACGCGGCTCGGGCCCGCCAGTGCCCCAACGGGGTCCTAGTTATTATTAGGGCCCGAGCGTAGCTGCTAAGCAGCTGCGAGAGCCCTCTTGTTCCTGTAGTTTCCTTCTTTTGTTATTATTAGGGCCCGAGCCAGCTGCAGAGCAGCCGGGCGTAGGCCCTATTATTCCCCAAGTGGTTTTTCTTTGTTTCTTTCTTTCTTTCTTTCTTTCTTCTTTTTCCTCCCCTTTGAACTGGAAAATGGCCCACTTCCCACTGGCGAAAACTCATGAAATTTGGCAGGACGACCGGGCCTGGTGAAAAATTCGATATTCTGAAGTCGCCCAAACAATAAAATGCAAAATGGCTCCATAGCGCCCCCTAAGGTGGAAATTCACACTATTGACTGTCACGCCTGTACGCTTTGTCATATTGACACAAAAATTGACACACATATGTATCTCAATAAGATCTACAAAAAAGTCAGTGCGGCCGTATCTGTCAAAATTACGGTTTAAGGGTTATTTCGCATTTTTTGCCGATCCGCACACATTGGAATTTCGCTAACTCCTCCGAAGGCTTTCGTTCCACCGGCACCACATTTGCTCAGGCCAATCTACACCCCGTGGCCATTAAAAGTTATCAAAATCATGACGCTGCACCCCAAGGTTTAGGTTCTAGGGGGCGCCAAAGATAACACTAAAATCCACATATTTAAAAGTCTTATAACTTTTTATTTTTGTCCTCACTGGCCTCCAAGTTTTCTAGGATGATGCAATGTCCAGCCATCAACACATTTGTGAAGGAATTTTTACTCCCCAAAAGAGCGCCCCCCCATGGCAGGAGAAAAAAGTCCATTTTTTCTTGTCCCCTAAGGTGAAAATACACATTGTTGAGTGTCACGCCTATACGCTTTGTCAAAATGACACAAAAATTGACACACACATGTAACTCAATAAGATCTACGAAAAAGTCAATGCGCGCGTATCTGTCAAATGTACGGTTAAAGGGTTATTCCGCATTTTTTGCCGATCCGCACACATTGGAATTTCGCTAACTCCTCCGAAGGCTTTCGTTCCACCGGCACCACATTTGCTCAGGCCAATCTACACCCCGTGGCCATTAAAAGTTATCAAAATCATGACGCTGCACCCCAAGGTTTAGGTTCTAGGGGGCGCCAAAGATAACACTAAAATTCACATATTTAAAAGTCTTATAACTTTTTATTTTTGTCCTCACTGGCCTCCAAGTTTTCTAGGATGATGCAATGTCCAGCCATCAACACATTTGTGAAGGAATTTTTACTCCCCAAAAGAGCGCCCCCCATGGCAGGAGAAAAAAGTCCATTTTTTCTTGTCCCCTAAGGTGAAAATACATATTGTTGAGATTCACGCCTATACGCTTTGTCATATTGACACAAAATTTGACAATCACGTGCCTTGCCTGGTATCATTTTTTTCAGCACAACCTCACCTGTGCGAATTTACAGTTATTTTATCATGTTGACATACTGAATTTACACAATGGACCCAAATTCACACACAAAACATAAAATCCGAGTGGAAAAAAGTAACATTTTTACTGTGAAAACCACAAATATGTGTGATGAACTGTTTTTAAAACTTAAACTTCAAATAAAAATTGTAAACTTCAAAACATATGCAAATTTTTAACAAAGAACATAGTGATTTACCTCTATTTACATCAAAATGCAGGCAATGGCCCAGGCGTTCTTTGTAAAATTATTTACAAAACACTGTATAGTCTCACAAATGTCACTTTTTATTTATGCCACTACAAAAAAACATGATGTAAATGATGCATGATGTAAAACATGATGTAAAAAACTTGTGTAGATCCTCCTGTATGTCAGTCCATGTGTAATTTTTCCATAATTCTTTGTTTTTTGCAGCATTTTTGTTAGTGTAACTGCAGATTGTGCTGACAGTGTCTATGGCACAAAAAAAAAAAATTTAAAATGCCTCAACATGAACCCCTGGTGGTCTCTGAGGGTGAAACCTGCTAACTGCTGCAGCTCTGTCAGCTTCAGTCTCCCATGCAGAGCTCTGAGCGCATGTGTGGCTCTGCACCCTTAGCAGCGTTGCTAACTCCTCAGTAAGGAAAGCCTGCTTCATGTCAGAGTCTCTAAACTCCAGAAGAAGTCGATAAAAGTCCCTTTCTTTCTAAAAAAAAGTCGTTAGGGGGTCTGAAAAGTCATTGAATCTAACAACAAAGTCGCTAGGTTTGCAACTACGTGTCCCAGACTGCATCCCTGCTGAGAGTCCCTCCCTCGCTTCTCATGTTGCAGGAAGAACGTAAGCACCCGCCCCTTGTCAATCAGTCACCATATAATTTTGGATTGGTTGTTGTGGTGAAGTTTTCCACCAATAGGAGAGATGTTGTGGTGTGTTTTTTTTTTCTTTTGGCAAGCCTTTTCCGCCTGTAAGACCTGTCGCTAATGTCTGCATGCTATGTTTTCCTGTCTCATACAGCGCGATCGAGCGCCGAACGTGATCAAAATAAGCAGAAAAAAAGTATCGCGGACATAATTTATCATAACTCTGGTTTTATTTGGCCTATCAACACAATTTAAAAACTGGTATATAGGTTGAGGTCCTCACTTTTGAGATAAGTTGAAACGGAGAGTCAACGAGGCTCCGTCTTGAAGCTACATCCGGTTAAATATGTCATGTGACTTGAACGCACACACAGACACACACACACGCACACACACACACACACACACACAGACACACACACACACACACACACACTCAGAGTCTGGTTTTTAGCACCTGCAAAAACATGCTATTTACATATTTGACAAGAATGCAGAGGCTCCTTTTGCCCCTGAAAAAAATCAAATTTCAAACACAACTTGACTGGTCATTTCTCCAAAAGACAACCATGAAGCTCCATCCAAACCTGAAGCAGGCAGTTGGTGCATGTGTACAGTAACCTGAGGGGAGTGAGGTGAGTGCTTCTGAGGAGAACATGAGCAGTGAAGATTCACCTTGGAGCTAGAACAGAGACATGCACATGATTATACAGGGGCAGGGGCTCAAGTTTTTTCCAGTCGTTTATACAATATGGAAATTAATGTGAAATTAAAACACAAAGTATTAATAGAAAGGTAATGACTGTCCTGTGTAGGTGACAGTGATATCCAATAGGCTAGGCACTCACGAGGCTGGCTGTGGCAAGTGTAAGTGAAAGCAACACGCACTGGCAGGAAGAACAGCAAACGCCGATGAAGGAAAAGGGTCTTTGCAGTGATGGGCGTTAACAGAGAGGGCGATGGCCAGAGGACACAAATGGGACGGGGAGGCAGCACGTTAAGGGGGGGGGGAGACGCGACACGGCTCGGGCCCGCCAGTGCCCCAACGGGGTCCTAGTTATTATTATTATTATTTTTCCTCCCCTTTGAACTGGAAAATGGCCCACTTCCCACTGGCGAAAACTCATGAAATTTGGCAGGACGACCGGGCCTGGTGAAAAATTTGATATTCCGAAGTCGCCCAAACAAGAAAATGCAAAATGGCTCCATAGCGCCCCCTAAGGTGAAAATTCACACTATTGACTGTCACGCCTGTACGCTTTGTCAAAATGACACAAAAATTGACACACACATGTATCTCAATAAGATCTACAAAAAAGTCAGTGCGGGCGTATCTGTCAAATGTACGGTTAAAGGGTTATTTCGCATTTTTTGCCGATCCGCACACATTGGAATTTCGCTAACTCCTCCGAAGGCTTTCGTTCCACCGGCACCACATTTGCTCAGGCCAATCTACACCCCATGGCCATTAAAAGTTATTCAAATCATGACGCTGCACCCCACGGTTTAGGTTCTAGGGGGCGCCAAAGATAACCCTAAGATCCACATATTTAAAAGTCTTATAACTTTTTATTTTTGCCCTCACTGGCCTCCAAGTTTTCTAGGATGATGCAATGTCCAGCCATCAACACATTTGTGAAGGAATTTTTACTCCCCAAAAGAGCGCCCCCCCATGGCAGGAGAAAAAAGTCAATTTTTTCTTGTCCCCTAAGGTGAAAATACACATTGTTGAGTGTAACACCTGTACGCTTTGGCAAAATGACACAAAAATTGACACACACATGTATCTCAATAAGATCTACGAAAAAGTCAATGCGCGCGTATCTGTCAAATGTACGGTTAAAGGGTTATTCCGCATTTTTTGCCGATCAACACACATTGGAATTTCGCTAACTCCTCCGAAGGCTTTCGTTCCACCGGCACCACATTTGCTCAGGCCAATCTACACCCCATGGCCATTAAAAGTTATTCAAATCATGACGCTGCACCCCACGGTTTAGGTTCTAGGGGGAGCCAAAGATAACCGTAAAATCCACATATTTAAAAGTCTTATAACTTTTTATTTTTGTCCCCACTGGCCTCCAAGTTTTCTAGGATGATGCAATGTCCAGCCATCAACACATTTGTGAAGGAATTTTTACTCGGCAAAAGAGCGCCCCCCCATGGCAGGAGAAAAAAGTCAATTTTTTCTTGTCCACTAAGGTGAAAATACACATTGTTGAGTGCTACGCCTGTATGTTTTGTCGTATTGACACAAAATTTTACATACACGTGTATTTCAATAAGATCTTCGAAAAAGTCAATGGCCACGTATCTGTAAAATGTACGGTTAAAGGGTTATTTCGCATTTTTTGCAGATTCGCACACATTGGAATTTCGCTAATTCCTCCGAAGGCTTTCGTTCCACCGGCACCACATTTGCTCAGGCCAATCTACACCCCATGGCCATTAAAAGTTATTCAAATCATGACGCTGCACCCCACGGTTTAGGTTCTAGGGGGCGCCAAAGATAACCCTAAAATCCACATATTTAAAAGTCTTATAACTTTTTATTTTTGTCCTCACTGGCCTCCATGTTTTCTAGGATGATGCAATGTCCAGCCATCAACACATTTGTGAAGGAGTTTTTTCTCTTTAAAAGAGCGCCCCCCCATGGCAGGAGAATAAAGTCAAGTTTTTCCTGTTCATCATTCAATGGCTCAAACGCACTGCTCTCTCGGCAAAAGCGAAAGGAGGAGCAACTTGCCATTTGGATATATCTTAGCTGTGTTTGTGCCCTCACTCATGGTCCAGACTTTTTTCAAATAGGACATGGAGTTTTTCTGCAGCGAGCGTTTTGGTAGAAACTGCGCCTCCCGTTCATTATAATGGTAAATGACCACAAACAAGTGCGCACACCATCTTTGGACCTTGAGTGTGACGCGATCGGGTGGGGGAGGCGGTCGCGCTGGGGGCGGCGTGACACGGCTCGAGCCCGCCAGTGCCCCAACGGGGCCCTAGTTTCTTCTTTTTCCTCCCCTTTGAACTGGAAAATGGCCCACTTCCCACTGGCAAAAACTCATGAAATTTGGCAGGACGACCGGGCCTCGTGAAAAATTTGATATTCTGAAGTCGTCCAGGCAATAAAATGCAAAATGGCTCCATAGCGCCCCCTAAGGTGTAAATTCACACTATTGACTGTCACGCCTGTACGCTTTGTCATATTGACACCAAAATTGACACACATATGTATCTCAATAAGATCTACAAAAAAGTCAGTGCGGGCGTATTTGTCAAATGTATGGTTAAAGGGTTATTTCGCATTTTTTGCTGATCCGCAAACATTGGAATTTCGCTAACTCCTCTGAAGGCTTTCGTTCCACCGGCACCACATTTGCTCAGGCCAATCTACACCCCATGGCCATTAAAAGTTATTCAAATCATGACGCTGCACCCCACGGTTTAGGTTCTAGGGGGCGCCAAAAATAACCCTAAAATCCACATATTTAAAAGTCTTATAACTTTTTCTTTTTGTCCTCACTGGCCTCCAAGTTTTCTAGGATGATGCAATGTCCAGCCATCAACACATTTGTGAAGGAATTTTTACTTCCCAAAAGAGCGCCCCCCCATGGCAGGAGAAAAAAGTCCATTTTTTCTTGTCCACTAAGGTGAAAATACACATTGTTGAGTGTCACGCCTGTATGCTTTGTCAAAATGACACAAAAATTGACACACACATGTATCTCAATAAGATCTACAAAAAAGTCAATGAGCGCGTATCTGTCAAATGTACGATTAAAGGGTTATTCCGCATTTTTTGCTGATCCGCACACATTGGAATGTGGCTAACTCCTCCGAAGGCTTGAGTTCCACCGGCACAACATTTGCTCAGGCCAATCTACACCCCATGGCCATTAAAAGTTATTCAAATCATGACGCTGCACCCCACGGTTTACGTTCTAGGGGGCGCCAAAGATGACCCAAATATCCACATTTTTTGAAGTCTTTTCACTTTTTATTGTTGTCCCCACTGGCCTCCAAGTTTTCTAGGATGATGCAATGTCCAGCCATCAACACATTTGTGAAGGAATTTTTACTCCCCAAAAGAGCGCCCCCCATGGCAGGAGAAAAAAGTCAATTTTTTCTTGTCCACTAAGGTGAAAATACACATTGTTGAGTGCTACGCCTGTATGCTTTGTTGTATTGACACAAAATTTGACATACACGTGTATTTCAATAAGATCTACGAAAAAGTTAATGGGCACGTATCTGTAAAATGTACGGTTAAAGGGCAATTTTGCAGTTTTTGGCGATTTGCACACATTGGAATTTCGCTAACTCCTCTGAAGGCTTGAGTTCCACTGTCACCAAATTTGCTCAGGCTAATCTACACTCCATGGCCATTCAAAGTTGTACAAATCATAATGCTGCACCCTATGGTTTACACTCTAGGGGTCGCCAAAGATAACCCAATACTCACATTCTTAAAAGTCGTCTTGGCCAGTGAGTGGCGCCAATGGGAGCTCTCTATGAAATCTGATGCTACAAAAGTAGCAGTACAAAAGTTAAAAGGCTCAAATATTTGCTATATTAGTGACTTTATGTCTTAAATGGGAATTTAAAGGGTTAAAAAATTATTTTCACCGAAACATTTGCTAGTTCTGAACAGGGCAGAAGTTAAATATAACAGATGTACAAAAGATCTAATTGATCTCAGCTTTCACCTGTCAAATTTAGGAAGTATAAGTTTTAGCTTTAAGGCCTTTAACAACCAGAGGCCCTTACATAAAGTTTTAGGGAAATTTCAGTGAAGGCCTGGGTGTATGTCTTTCGCAAAATGATTAGAAAGAATAAAGCTCAACACCATAAAATGGCCTCGCCTACTAGCAGTGATATAAAACAGTGGTTTGAATATGAAATAAGACCAAACAAACAGCAATAGAGCCCTTTTGACCAGGAATTCCTTTATTTTCACACAAAAGCAGAAAGGGTAAGGGAATGATCAGTCCTCCTGACTGTCAGATGAATCCTCAAAATTTCATCAGAAACATGTTTCTTATTTTTCTCAGAGTACTGCAGGATGCACACACACAGACACACACACACACACACACACACACACACACACACACACACACACACACACACACACTCAAAAACAGAAAAACATGCTATTGCTATGTTGACAGGAATGCAGAGGCTTCCTTTTGCCTTTGAAAAAAATCAAATGTCAAACACCACTTGGCTGGTCATTTCTCCAAAAGACAACGATGAAGCGCTATATAAACCTAAAGCAGGCAGGTGCTGCATGTGTACAGTCCCCTGAGGGGAGTGAGGTGACTGCTTCTGAGGAGAACATGAGCAGTGATGATTCACCTTGGAGCCAGAACAGGGACGTGCACATGATTATACAGGGGCATGGGCTCAAGTTTTTTTCCAGTTGTTTATAAAATATGGAAATTAATCTAAAATTTAAAGAAAAAGTATGAATAGAAAGGTAATGACTGTCCTGTGTAGGTGATAGTGATATCCAACAGCCATTTCTTTTGTGGCAACAAACTATTGAACATGACATGATCAATATGGTAGTATTTCAAACACAGATTACCTACATGTGAAATTAGTATCTACCTAGCAGTGGCGGCTGCTGGTGTTTCAAGGAGGGGAAGCTCATTTTTCTGGCCTACATCATATTGTATTTGTTTATTAGTATGTAACAGAACAGAGTCGCAGAGTGAAGTTTTATTTTTTATTTTGTACAGGATTTCCTCTCTGACATGATCTGCTCTGTGCTGAATTGATCCACCATTCTCTGTCTCAGGTGGTTCTATGACAGAGTGGAGGTGCAAGAGACAGAGAAGTGGCAGAGTCATCTCACACAAAAATAGTATCACAAGTAAATGGATATTGTAGAATGCTGTGGAGTTTTTGAACCATGTTTTTGTTGTGCTTTTTTAACTTTCAAACAAGAGTTATTAAAAGAATTAAAAAAGGGAAGTTTAATTCAAGTCAAAAAGGGCAGGGGTTCAAGCACCTCAGAGCACTATTTGTGTGCATGAGCCAGGAGGATTTAGGGGAGAAATATTTGTCGGACATAGAGGGATAATGCAATTTGAGAAGGGGAAACAAATAGGAGAAGGAGGAGTTTGAATATTTTATGTGCAAAACATTATTATGCATTACAATTAATATTTTTATCAAAAAACTTTATCACAGATACTTCACTTTGCACCTCATTTTTGGAAATATCAAATATTTGTTTTTTTCACCGTGAAAAAGCAGGGGATGTCACGACAAAGGCACTCAAAATGTAAAAATCTACAAATTTATTGTAATACATTTGATATCTATGGCTAGGTCTGAAGTTGTTGACTACATATAATGCTTTAAAGAAGAAAAACATGCATGTATGATGTTTTTACTGCACTGTTATAAGACTGTGCACCTCATTTTAGGAATTATTGCATTTTTTGTGTTATTCTAATTAAAAAATCAGGGGTTTGCTAGATAAAAATGACTAAAAACCTAAAAAACAAATGATATCTTTATTTTCAATAAACTTTACATCTAGGATAGGTCATGATATAATGATTTAAAGCAAAAGAAAAAAAGGGATGTATAAGTTTTTCACCGCACTTTTATAAGATTATAAGAAGTCTATTTTTCGGCATGAGGGTAAGCAGTATAAGTTTATAATGGAAACTGTGATTGTGCACTTATAATTATACAACACAATCAATATTTTTATCAGTTGTTGACATAGTCAGGGCTGTTATATGTCTAACCAAAATCTTTCACTTTGCACCTCATTTTTGTAATTATTGCATATTTTTAGTTTTTCTCCTTACAAAAATCATGGGTTCTCACGACAAAAGACCTAAAAAATATATATTTTTTTAAATAACCGTTATATGTATGGATAGGCCTGAAGTTGTTGACAAGATATAATGCTTTAAAGTAAACAGAAATATGAATGTTTGACCACGAGTGTAGCAAGTGTCAGTACATTTTAAGGGGTACTTAAGGGTTACAGAACAATCCTTTATTTACATAATTAAGAAATATAGGCTACAGCCACAAACTGAACTTCTAATAATGTCAATAACTATGATATTTAACAAAATTTACACATAATAAACATAAAATCACCCACACGACTACACACAGTAAACATAAAATCACACATAATCAACAATTAACTACAATGGATCTAAATAAAAAGACATGTCTCCCACTTCTCCAGAGTCACAGTTATCATCTAATGTGCACCCCTCCTCTACTACGTCAAGGACACCAGCAATTGCTTTCTCCGCTGAGGTGAGGTCTTTGTCAGCTGCTTCCACTTGTGGTATACCTAAAAATGATTCAAATCAATGTTAACAATGTTTTAAATTATCACTTTCAGTTTACATAAAAACAGGACATGCAACATTCCCACATGTGTAAAATGAACACACACACATCACCTTATTGTTTGTATATTGATTTATACTTCGCCCTCAATTTCATTTTTCGATAACTTTTTATGCAATAAGCAATTGTAATGTGCATAACTGACGTCCGGATTACATTAGTTATGATACCGTGCAAAGATATCCAGCATTGTCTTACTTCAATCAATCATGAGGCATAGTGAGGCTGAAGCCTCAGGGCAGGTATTGCCACAGAGGAAAAAGTGCCTAGAAACTGAATGTTGTTGCATTTCAGTTGGGCAACATAGACTGTGATTCATAACAAAGCTCTATTGACAGTAAGAACTACAAAGAAATATCTACTCATGCCATCTTATCGATTAATAGTAATCAGTGTTTCGGTGTCGAACTAGTTCCTTTGTGCGGTGAGTGATACATGAGCACGCGCAGTCGAATATGCAGAAGGGTGAAGCAATTTCTGTCACGTGGACCAATACGTAGCGAGTCTCGTTTCCATAGTTCACCCAGTATTTTGGCTACAGTTGGTGGCTAGTGGAAAACGTTACATAACCACCCATAACTGCAGTAAATTCGACAAAATTACTGCTAAAAACTGCCATTTTTTGCGCGTGTGGGATAGGGGGGCTATTAGGTTTGGCTTAGTTTAGGGGTTACAGAAGGTATAATCCGGGCCTGAGCATAGTATAGATGTAAAGAGTATTTACACGCATAAATTTATACTCCATTTCAACGTCAGGATTCGGTCTTTTTTAGACGTGATTTAGACGTAAACAATTATACGTCCTTTCAACATCTACATATAGACCGAAGTCACACAATCAATATTAATCAACAATTCACGAGTTGATTATTCAAAATGTTAACTGGAGGTTGCAGAACTGATTTCGATCTATGGGACTACTTTCATCTTGGGAGCGTAGCCAGTGTTTTCGCCATATCCGGTCAAAACACTAATACGAAACAAACAAAAACAAACCCACCTTCAGATCTTAAAGCCTGGGTCTTATTGAGTATTTCACAAGAAAATTGGTCGCTGAAATTTAATGAAAGTATTAGATTTCATGTGGTTTATCAGTCTCGGTAACGCCGATTGACTCTGTGACAATAACACAGGATCACATGAGCCCTTTCACGTGCCTACTCACGTGATCCTCCGTGTAACCACTTCGAGTAAGGTCTAATTCCGCCAAGAGCGAACTAGTCCGTGATAACAGTTGTCGGTATAAGAGCAATACTACGAAATGAGCTACAATAAAGTATTTAGTAGCTCTGCAACAGTCCGGCTTTACACCTGTATTGACATTGTACCGTAATCGGACTAAAACATGTAAAAGGCTTCAAATTCTGGACCGCACAACATCCTACTGAATCACTGCGCTTTGTTCACATTCGACCTCACTACCATGCAAAACTCCTATTTTGTTCGAACAAAACTGAATAAAATGCGTAATTCTTCCACTGCATATTGCAGGGCTTGTTGGTACAACTTGTGTTACATATTTAAGCTTTTTCTCAAACATTAATCAATGAAAACATCAGCTACAGCACTCATTTTCATGTGCAAAGTAGAGCCGCCGCCATTTTGTTCAATGTGCTTGTGCTAAGCGTCTCCTCGCTTAGCAACTGTATCTATGGAGGAGAGGGAGGGCTGGGCGGAGCCCACCGAAAGGTGTTCTGTTATTATTGGCTCTGACTGTAACCTCAGTCGCAAGTCATTAAATCCAGCTTTTCGATTGGTCGAGCTCCTCTTTATTTTCCAGTATTTTCGTCGCTCACTTCGTCTGACTGATCCCTTGAGGATAACAGACTACCTTCGACAGAGCGCGAATTTTACGAGTAAATCTGTTTTTGAAGATTTTTTACACGCTTCACCGATACACATCTACGAACACACATCTTGCAATACATCTTTCACATTTAACAAACACACACACACACACACACACACACACACACACACACACACAACACACAAACTCTCACGGTCAACCTCGGCTGAGTTTGACTGTCTTTTATTCCACCTATCCACGGAACGGCTGCTCATCTCGTCTGTAACAACTTCAGTACGGTAAGTCATGTGTTATCAGCTTATTTGTTGTGTTTTGCTGTTGTTGAGGGAGAACTTTTGCTCAAACATGCAGCTAACAAAACTGTTGTGGCTAAGATAGGCGTGCTGAGTTGTTTACACAGGGCCGCTAACAAAGTAGCTAGTGTGCTACTCTGTTAGCGGCCCTGTGTAAACACCAAGCTAGTTGTAACTTCGTTATTCTGTGACTTCACTGCACTCTCGGAGATCACAATGTAGCATTTTGTGGTGGTGGCGGAAGTGTATTGTGTTGTTTCGCGTTCTTTGTCCGCATCGCAGAGGGGCTATTGTCTGTGTCCACATTGCAGTGCAATTATTGTCTTGTTTCGCTGTCTGCGTCGGCATCGCAGAGGGGCTCTTGTTAGGGCCCGAGCGTAGCTGCTAAGCAGCTGCGAGAGCCCTCTTGTTCCTGATGGATTCTTCTTTTGTTATTAGGGCCCGAGCCAGCTGCAGAGCAGCCGGGCGTAGAGCCCTATTATTCCTGTATAGGTTTTTCTTTCTTCTTTCTTTCTTTCTTTCTTCTTATTTTTCCTCCCCTTTGAAGGGGAAAATGGCCCACTTCCCACTGGCGAAAACTCATGAAATTTGGCAGGACGAATGGGCCTGGTGAAAAATTCGATATTCTGAAGTCGCCCAAACAATAAAATGCAAAATGGCTCCATAGCGCCCCCTAAGGTGAAAATTCACACTATTGACTGTCACACCTTTACGCTTTGTCATATTGACACAAAAATTGACACACACATGTATCTCAATAAGATCTATAAAAAAGTCAGTGCGGGCGTATCTGTCAAATGTACGGTTAAAGGGTTATTTCGCATTTTTTGCCGATCCGCACACATTGGAATTTCCTCTCCTCCGAAGGCTTTCGTTCCACTGGCACCACATTTGCTCAGGCCAATCTACACCCCATGGCCATTCAAAGTTGTACAAATCATGACGCTGCACCCCACGGTTTACGTTCTAGGGGGCGCCAAATATAACCCAAAAATCCACAGTCTTAAAAGTCTTATAACTTTTTATTTTTGTCCTCACTGGCCTCCAAGTTTTCTAGGATGATGCAATGTCCAGCCATCAACACATTTGTGAAGGAATTTTTACTCGCCAAAAGAGCGCCCCCCCCATGGCAGGAGAAAAAAGTCAATTTTTTCTTGTCTCCTAAGGCGAAAATACACATTGTTGACTGTCACGCCTTTACGCTTTGTCAAAATGACACAAAATTTGACACACACATGTATCTCAATAAGATCTACGAAAAAGTCAATGCGAGCGTATCTGTTCAATGTACAGTTAAAGGGCTATTTCGCATTTTTTGCCGATTCGCACACATTGGAATGTGGCTAACTCCTCCTGAAGCTTTTGTCCCATCGGCTTCAAATTTGCTCAGGTCAATCTACACCCCATGGCCATTCAAAGTTGTACAAATCATGACGCTGCACCCCACGGTTTACGTTCTAGGGGGCGCCAAAGAGGACCCAAATATCCACATTTTTAAAAGTCTTATAACTTTTTATTTTTGTCCTCACTGGCCTCCAAGTTTTCTAGGATGATGCAATGTCCAGCCATCAACACATTTGTGAAGGAATTTTTTCTCCCCAAAAGAGCGCCCCCCCATGAAAGGAGAAAAAGTCAAGTTTTTCCTGCCCATCGCTCAATGGCTCAAACGCATCGCTCTCTCGGCAAAACCGAAAGGAGGAGCAAATTGCCATTTGGATATATACTAGCTGTGTTTGTGCCCTCACTCATGGTCCAGACTTTTTTCAAAAAGGACATGGAGTTTGTCTGCAGCGAGCGTTTTGGTAGAAACTGCGCCTCCCATTCATTATCATGGGAAATGACCACAGACAAGTGTGCACACCATCTTTGGACCTTGAGTGTGACGCGATCGGGAGGGGTAGGCGGTCGCGCTGGGGGCGGCGCGACACGGCTCGGGCCCGCCAGTGCCCCAACGGGGCCCTAGTTATTATTAGGGCCCGAGCGTAGCTGCTAAGCAGCTGCGAGAGCCCTCTTGTTCCTGATGGATTCTTCTTTAGGGCCCGAGCGTAGCTGCTAAGCAGCTGCGAGAGCCCTATTATTCCTGATGGATTCTTCTTTAGGGCCCGAGCGTAGCTGCTAAGCAGCTGCGAGAGCCCTCTTGTTCCTGCATGTTTCCTTCTTTCGTTATTATTTTTCCTCCGCTTTAAACTGGAAAATGGCCCACTTCCCACTGGCGAAAACTCATGAAATTTGGCAGGACGACCGGGCCTGGTGAAAAATTCGATATTCTGAAGTCGCCCAAACAATAAAATGCAAAATGGCTCCATAGCGCCCCCTAAGGTGAAAATTCACATGACGGCTGTACGCTTTGTCATATTGACACAAAAATTGACACACACATGTATCTCAATAAGATCTACAAAAAAGTCAGTGCGGGCGTATCTGTCAAATGTACGGTTAATGGGTTATTTTGCATTTTTTGCAGATCTGCACACATTGGAATTTCGCTAACTCCTCCGAAGGCTTTCGTTCGACCGGCACCACATTTGCGCAGGCCAATCTACCCCCCATGGCCATTAAAAGTTGTACAAATCATGACGCTGCACCCCACGGTTTACGTTCTAGGGGGCGCCAAAGATAACCCAAAATCCACATTCTTAAAAGTCTTATAACTTTTTATTTTTGTCCTCACTGCCCTCCAAGTTTTCTAGGATGATGCAATGTCCAGCCATCAACACATTTGTGAAGGAATTTTTACTCCCCAAAAGAGCGCCCCCCCATGGCAGGAGAAAAAAGTCAATTTTTTCTTGTCCCCTTACATGAAAATACACATTGTTGAGTGTCACGCCTGAACGCTTTGTCATATTGACACAAAAATTGACAATCATGTGTATCTCAATTAGATCTACGAAAAAGTCAAAGAGCGCGTATCTGTATAATGTACGGTTAAAGGGCTATTTCACATTTTTTGCCGATTCGCACACATTGGAATGTGGCTATCTCCTCCTAAGGCTTTCGTCCCACCGATACCAAATTTGCTCAGGGCAATCTACACCCCATGCCCATTCAAAGTTGTAAAAATCATGACGCTGCACCCCACGGTTTACGTTCTAGGGGACGCCAAAGATGACCCAAAAATCCACATTCTTAAAAGTCATTTTGGCCACTGCAGGAGTACAGAGTACTGCAGTTCTAGGGGGCGCCAAAGATGACCCAAAAATCCACATTCTTAAAAGTCTTTTTGGCCACTGCAGGAGTACAGAGTACTGCAGGATACACACACATATACACACACACACACACAAACACACACACACACACACACACACTCAGAGTCTGTTTTTTAGCACCTGCAAAAACATGCTGTTTACATATTTGACAAGAATGCAGAGGCTTCCTTTTGCCCCTGAAAAAAATCAGATTTCAAACACAACTTGACTGTTCATTTCTCCAAAAGACAACCATGAAGCTCCATCCAAACCTGAAGCAGATAGTTGGTGCATGTGTACAGTAACCTGAGGGGAGTGAGGTGACTATTTCTGAGGAGAACATGAGCAGTGAAGATTCACCTTGGAGCTAGAACAGGGACGTGCACATGATTATACAGGGGCAGGGGCTCAAGTTTTTTCCAGTCATTTATACAATATGGAAATTAATGTGAAATTAAACCACAAATATGTGTGATGAACTGTTTTTAAAACTTAAACTTCAAATAAAAATTGTAAACTTCAAAACATATGCAAATTTTTAACAAAGAACATAGTAATTTACCTCTATTTACATCAAAATGCAGGCAATGGCCCAGGCGTTCTTTGTAAAATTATTTACAAAACACTGTATAGTCTCACAAATGTCACTTTTTATTTATGCCACTACAAAAAAACATGATGTAAATGATGCATGATGTAAAACATGATGTAAAAAACTTGTGTAGATCCTCCTCTATGTCAGTCCATGTGTAATTTTTCCATAATTCTTTGTTTTTTGCAGCATTTTTGTTAGTGTAACTGCAGATTGTGCTGACAGTGTCTATGGCACAAAAAAAAAAAAACTGAAAATGCCTCAACATGAACCCCTGGTGGTCTCTGAGGGTGAAACCTGCTAACTGCTGCAGCTCTGTCAGCTTCAGTCTCCCATGCAGAGCTCGGAGCGCATGTGTGGCTCTGCACCCTTAGCAGCGTTGCTAACTCCTCAGTAAGGAAAGCCTGCTTCATGTCAGAGTCTCTTAACTCCAGAACTCCAGAAGAAGTCGATAAAAGTCCCTTTCTTTCTAAAAAGTCGTTAGGGGGTCTGAAAAGTCATTGAATCTAACAACAAAGTCGCTAGGTTTGCAACTACGTGTCCCAGACTGCATCCCTGCTGAGAGTCCCTCCCTCCCTTCTCAAGTTGCAGGAAGAACGCGAGCGCCCGTCCCGTGTCAATCAGTCACCATATAATTTTGGATTGGTTGTTGTGGTGAAGTTTTCCACCAATAGGAGAGATGTTGTGGTGTGTTTTTTTTTTTTCTTTTGGCAAGTCTTTTCCGCCTGTAAGAGCTGTCGCTAATGTCTGCATGCTATGTTTTCCTGTCTCATACAGCGCGATCGAGCGCCGAACGTGATCAAAATAAGCAGAAAAAAAGTATCGCGGACATAATTTATCATAACTCTGGTTTTATTTGGCCTATCAACACAATTTAAAAACTGGTATATAGTTTGAGGTCCTCACTTTTAAGATTGGTTGAAACTGAGAATCAACGAGGCTCCGTCTTGCAGCTACATCCGGTTAAATATGTCATGTGACTTGAACGCTGGGGAACGTCAATCGACTGCAGAGCCAGCAGACAAAGTAGTTATGGCCACTGAGAGGCACACATTTGTCATATGCTATAATCCTAACATATTTAAATGCTTTTTCTATTTAAACCTAATGGATCTAAGCTTTGACCTTCAAAATTTAGGAAGAATATGTTTTTGCAGTAATGACCCCCTTAAACAACCAGAGGTCCTTTCCTGAAGTTTATGGAAATTTTAGTGAAGGCCTTGGTTTCTTTCCTTGCAAAATGTATAGAAATAATAAAGCTAAATACCATAAAATGGTCTTGGCGTATTAGCAGTGATATAAAATAGTGGTTTGAATATGAATGAACAACAAAAAAAAAAACATCAACAGAGCCTTTTTGAGTTGGGATTCTTTCATTATCACACAAAAACAGACATAGACAGACATCTAAAGGGTAAGGGAATGATCAGCCCTCCTGAACTCTCAGATGAATCTTCAAAATTCACCTCAGAAATATGCTTATTATTCTTCTCAGAGTACTGCAGGACACACACACACACACACACACACACACACACACACACACACACACACACACACACACACACACACTCAGAGTCTTTTTTTTAGCACCTGCAAAAACATGTTATTAACATATTTGACAAGAATGCAGAGGCTCCTTTTGCCCCTGAAAAAAATCAGATTTCAAACACAACTTGACTGGTCATTTCTCCAAAAGACAACCATGAAGCTCCATCCAAACCTGAAGCAGGCAGTTGGTGCATGTGTACAGTAACCTGAGGGGAGTGAGGTGACTGCTTCTGAGGAGAACATGAGCAGTGAAGATTCACCTTGGAGCTACAACAGGGACGTGCACATGATAATACAGGGGCAGGGGCTCAAGTTTTTTCCAGTCATTTATACAATATGGAAATTAATGTGAAATTAAAAACAAAGTATTAATAGAAAGGTAATGACTGTCCTGTGTAGGTGACAGTGATATCCAATAGGCTAGGCACTCACGAGGCTGGCTGTTGCAAGTGTAAGTGAAAGCAACACGCACTGGCAGGAAGAACAGCAAACACCGATGAAGGAAAAGGGTCTTTGCAGTGATGGGCGTTACCAGAGAGGGCGATGGCCAGAGGACGCGAATGGGACGGGGAGGCAGCGCGTTGGGGGGGGGGGGGGGCACATGGCTCGGGCCCGCCAGTGCCCCACCGGGGCCCTAGTTCTTCTTCTTCTTATTATTATTTTTCTGCCCCTTTGAACTGGAAAATGGCCCACTTCCCACTGGTGAAAAGTCATGAAATTTGGCAGGACAACCGGGCCTGGTGAAAAATTCGATATTCTGAAGTCGCCCAAAAAATCAAATGCAAAATGGCTCCATAGCGCCCCCTAAGGTGAAAAATTCACATGATTGAGTGTCACGCCTGTACGCTTTGTCAAAATGACACAAAATTTGACACACACGTGTATCTCAATAAGATCTACAAAAAAGTCAGTGCGGGCGTATCTGTCAAATGTACGGTTAAAGGTTTATTTCGCATTTTTTGCCGATCCGCACACATTGGAATTTCGCTAACTCCTCCGAAGGTTTTCGTTCCACCGGCACCACATTTGCTCAGGCCAATCTACACCCCATGGCCAATAAAAGTTGTACAAATCATGACGCTGCACCCCAAGGTTTACGTTCTAGGGGGCGCCAAAGATAACCCAAAAATCCACAGTCTTAAAAGTCTTATAACTTTTTATTTTTGTCCTCACTGGCCTCCAAGTTCTCTAGGATGATGCAATGTCCAGCCATCAACACATTTGTGAAGGAATTTTTACTCGCCAAAAGAGCGCCCCCCCATGGCAGGAGAAAAATGTCCATTTTTTCTTGTCTCCTAAGGCGAAAATACACATCGTTGACTGTCACGCCTTTACGCTTTGTCAAAATGACACAAAATTTGACACACACATGTATCTCAATAAGATCTACAAAAAAGTCAGTGCGGGCGTATCTGTCAAATGTACGGTTAAAGGGTTATTTCGCATTTTTTGCCGATCCGCACACATTGGAATTTCGCTAACTCCTCCGAAGGCTTTCGTTCCAACGGCACCACATTTGCTCAGGCCAATCTACACCCCATGGCCATTAAAAGTTGTACAAATCATGACGCTGCACCCCACGGTTTACGTTCTAGGGGGCGCCAAAGATAACCCTAAAATCCACAGTCTTAAAAGTCTTATAACTTTTTATTTTTGTCCTCACTGGCCTCCAAGTTCTCTAGGATGATGCAATGTCCAGCCATCAACACATTTGTGAAGGAATTTTTACTCGCCAAAAGAGCGCCCCCCATGGCAGGAGAAAAAAGTCCATTTTTTCTTGTCTCCTAAGGTGAAAATACACATTGTTGACTGTCACGCCTTTACGCTTTGTCAAAATGACACAAAATTTGACACACACATGTATCTCAATAAGATCTACGAAAAAGTCAATGCGAGCGTATCTGTTCAATGTACGGTTAAAGGGCTATTTCGCATTTTTTGCCGATTCGCACACATTGGAATGTGGCTAACTCCTCCTAAAGCTTTTGTCCCATCGGCTTCAAATTTGCTCAGGTCAATCTACACCCCATGGCCATTCAAAGTTGTACAAATCATGACGCTGCACCCCACGGTTTACGTTCTAGGGGGTGCCAAAGAGGACCCAAATATCCACATTTTTAAAAGTCTTTTAACTTTTTATTTTTGTCCTCACTGGCCTCCAAGTTTTCTAGGATGATGCAATGTCCAGCCATCAACACATTTGTGAAGGAATTTTTTCTCCCCAAAAGAGCGCCCCCCCATGGCAGGAGAAAAAGTCAAGTTTTTCCTGCCCATCGCTCAATGGCTCAAAAGCATCGCTCTCTCGGCAAAACCGAAAGGAGGAGCAACTTGCCATTTGGATATATACTAGCTGTGTTTGTGCCCTCACTCATGGTCCAGACTTTTTTCAAAAAGGACATGGAGTTTGTCTGCAGCGAGCGTTTTGGTAGAAACTGCGCCTCCCATTCATTATAATGGTAAATGACCACAGACAAGTGCGCACACCATCTTTGGACCTTGAGTGTGACGCGATCAAGAGGGGTAGGCGGTCGCGCTGGGGGCGGCGCGACACGGCTCGGGCCCGCCAGTGCCCCAACGGGGCCCTAGTTTGTTATTATTATTATTTTTCCTCCGCTTTAAACTGGAAAATGGCCCACTTCCCACTGGCGAAAACTCATGAAATTTGGCAGGACGACCGGGCCTGGTGAAAAATTCGATATTCTGAAGTTGCCCAAACAAGAAAATGCAAAATGGCTCCATAGCGCCCCCTAAGGTGAAAATTCACACTATTGACTGTCACGCCTGTACGCTTTGTCATATTGACACAAAAATTGACACACACATGTATCTCAATAAGATCTACAAAAAAGTCAGTGCGGGCGTATCTGTCAAATGTACGGTTAAAGGGTTATTTTGCATTTTTTGCAGATCCGCACACATTGGAATTTCGCTAACTCCTCCGAAGGCTTTCGTTCAACCGGCACCACATTTGCTCAGGCCAATCTACACTCCATGGCCATTCAAAGTTGTACAAATCATAATGCTGCACCCCATGGTTTAGGTTCTAGGGGGCGCCAAAAATAACCCAAAAATCCACATTCTTAAAAGTTTTATAAATTTTTTTTTTTGTCCTCACTGGCCTCCAAGTTTTCTAGGATGATGCAATGTCCAGCCATCAACACATTTGTGAAGGAATTTTTACTCCCCAAAAGAGCGCCCCCCCATGGCAGGAATAAAAAGTCCATTTTTTCTTGTCCCCTAAGGTGAAAATACACATTGTTGAGTGTCACGCCTGTACGCTTTGTCGTATTGACAAAAAATTTGACACACACGTGTATCTCAATAAGATCTACGAAAAAGTCAATGGGCGCGTATCTGTAAAATGTACGGCTAAAGGGCTATTTTGCATTTTTTGCCGATTCGCACACATTGGAATGTGGCTAACTCCTCCTAAGGCTTTCGTCCCACTGACACCAAATTTGCTCAGGCCAATCTACACCCCATGGCCATTCAAAGTTGTAAAAATCATGCCGCTGCACCCCATGGTTTACGTTCTAGGGGGCGCCAAAGATGACCCAAATATCCACATTCTTAAAAGTCGTTTTGGCCACTGCAGGAGTACAGAGTACTGCAGGATACACACACACAGACACACACACACACACACACAGACACACACACACACACACACACACACACACACACACTCAGAGTCTGTTTTTTAGCACCTGCAAAAACATGCTATTTACATATTTGACAACAATGCAGAGGCTTCCTTTTGCCCCTGAAAAAAATCAAATTTCTAACACAACTTGACTGCTCATTTCTCCAAAAGACAACCATGAAGCTCCATCCAAACCTGAAGCAGGCAGTTGGTGCATGTGTACAGTAACCTGAGGGGAGTGAGGTGACTGCTTCTGAGGAGAACATGAGCAGTGAAGATTCACCTTGGAGCGAGAACAGGGACGTGCACATGATTATACGGGGGCAGGGGCTCAAGTTTTTTCCAGTCGTTTATACAATATGGAAATTAATGTGAAATTAAAAAACAAAGTATTAATAGAAAGGTAATGACTGTCCTGTGTAGGTGACAGTGATATCCAATAGGCTAGGCACTCACAAGGCTGGCTGTGGCAAGTGTAAGTGAAAGCAACACGCACTGGCAGGAAGAACAGCAAACGCCGATGAAGGAAAAGGGTCTTTGCAGTGATGGGCGTTACCAGAGAGGGCGATGGCCAGAGGACGCGAATGGGACGGGGAGGCGGCGCGTGGGGGGGGGGGGGGGGGCGACACAGCTCGGGCCCGCCAGTGCCCCAACGGGGCCCTAGTGTTATTATTATTATTATTATTTTTCCTCCGCTTTAAACTGGAAAATGGCCCACTTCCCACTGGCGAAAACTCATGAAATTTGGCAGGACGACCGGGCCTGGTGAAAAATTCGATATTCTGAAGTCGCCCAAACAATAAAATGCAAAATGGCTCCATAGCGCCCCCTAAGGCGAAAATTCACACTATTGACTGTCACGCCTGTACGCTTTGTCATATTGACACAAAAATTGACACACACGTGTATCTCAATACGTTCTACGAAAAAGTCAGCGCGGGCGCATCTGTGAAATGTACAGTTAGAGGGTTATTTCGCATTTTTTGCCGATCTGCACACATTGGAATTTCGCTAACTCCTCCGAAGGCATTCGTTCCACCGGCACCACATTTGCTCAGGCCAATCTACACCCCATGGCCATTAAAAGTTGTACAAATCATGACACTGCACCCCACAGTTTACGTTCTAGGGGGCGCCAAAGATAACCCAAAAATCCACAGTCTTAAAAGTCTTATAACTTTTTATTTTTGTCCTCACTGGCCTCCAAGTTCTCTAGGAAGATGCAATGTCCAGCCATCAACACATTTGTGAAGGAATTTTTACTCCCCAAAAGAGCGCCCCCACATGGCAGGAGAAAAAAGTCAATTTTTTCTTGTCCCCTAAGGTGAAAATACACATTGTTGAGTGTCACGCCTATACGCTTTGTCATATTGACCCAAAATTTGACAATCACGTGTATCTCAATAAGATCTACGAAAAAGTCAATGGGCACGTATCTGTAAAATGTACGGTTAAAGGGCTATTTCGCATTTTTTGCAGATTCGCACACATTGGAATGTGGCTAACTCCTCCTAAGGCTTTCTTCCCACCGACACCAAATTTGCTCAAGCCGATCTACATCCCATGGCCATTCAAAGTTGTAAAAATCATGCCGCTGCACCCCATGGTTTACGTTCTAGGGGGCGCCAAAGATGACCCAAATATCCACATTCTTAAAAGTCGTTTTGGCCACTGCAGGAGTACAGAGTACTGCAGGATACACACACACAGACACACACACAAACACACACACACACACACACACACACACACACACACACACACACACACACACACACACACACACTCAGAGTCTGTTTTTTAGCACCTGCAAAAACATGCTATTTACATATTTGACAACAATGCAGAGGCTCCTTTTGCCCCTGAAAAAAATCAAATTTCAAACACAACTTGACTGGTCATTTCTCCAAAAGACAACCATGAAGCTCCATCCAAACCTGAAGCAGGCAGTTGGTGCATGTGTACAGTTACCTGAGGGGAGTGAGGTGAGTGCTTCTGAGGAGAACATGAGCAGTGAAGATTCACCTTGGAGCGAGAACAGGGACGTGCACATGATTATACAGGGGCAGGGGCTCAAGTTTTTTCCAGTCGTTTATACAATATGGAAATTAATGTGAAATTAAAAAACAAAGTATTAATAGAAAGGTAATGACTGTCCTGTGTAGGTGACAGTGATATCCAATAGGCTAGGCACTCACGAGGCTGGCTGTGGCAAGTGTAAGTGAAAGCAACACGCACTGGCAGGAAGAACAGCAAACGCCGATGAAGGAAAAGGGTCTTTGCAGTGATGGGCGTTACCAGAGAGGACGATGGCCAGAGGACGCGAATGGGACGGGGAGGCAGCGCATTGGTGGGGGGGGGGGGGGGGGGGGGGGGGGGGCGCGACACAGCTCGGGCCCGCCAGTGCCCCAACGGGGCCCTAGTTATTATTTTTCCTCCGCTTTAAACTGGAAAATGGCCCACTTCCCACTGGCGAAAACTCAGGAAATTTGGCAGGACGACCGGGCCTGGTGAAAAATTCGATATTCTGAAGTCGCCCAAACAATAAAATGCAAAATGGCTCCATAGCGCCCCCTAAGGTGAAAATTCACACTATTGACTGTCACGCCTGTACGCTTTGTCATATTGACACAAAAATTGACACACACATGTATCTCAATAAGATCTACAAAAAAGTCAGTGCGGGCGTATCTGTCAAATGTACGGTTAAAGGGTTATTGCGCATTTTTTCCGATCCGCACACATTGGAATTTCGCTAACTCCTCCGAAGGCTTTCGTTCCACCGGCACCACATTTGCTCAGGCCAATCTACACTCCATGGCCATTCAAAGTTGTACAAATCATGACGCTGCACCCCACGGTTTAGGTTCTAGGGGGCGCCAAAAATAACCCAAAAATCCACATTCTTAAAAGTTTTATAACTTTTTTTTTTTGTCCTCACTGGCCTCCAAGTTTTCTAGGATGATGCAATGTCCAGCCATCAACACATTTGTGAAGGAAATTTTTACTCCCCAAAAGAGCGCCCCCCCATGGCAGGACAAAAAAGTCAATTTTTTCTTGTCCCCTAAGGTGAAAATACACATTGTTGAGATTCACGCCTGTACGCTTTGTCATATTGACAAAAAATTTGACACACACGTGTATCTCAATAAGATCTACGAAAAAGTCAATGCACGCGTATCTGTAAACTGTACGGCTAAAGGGCTATTTTGCATTTTTTGCCGATTCGCACACATTGGAATGTGGCTGACTCCTCCTAAGGATTTCGTCCCACTGACAACAAATTTGCTCAGGCCAATCTACACCCCATGGCCATTAAAAGTTGTAAAAATCATGACGCTGCACCCCATGGTTTACGTTCTAGGGGGCGCCAGAGAGGACCCAAAAATCCACATTCTTAAAAGTCTTAGAACTTTTTATTTTTGTCCTCACTGGCCTCCAAGTTTTCTAGGATGATGCAATGTCTAGCCATCAACACATTTGTGAAGGAATTTTTACTCCCCAAAACAGCGCCCCCCCATGGCCGGAGAAAAAGTCAAGTTTTTCCTGCCCATCGCTCAATGGCTCAATCGCATCGCTCTCCAGGCAACACCGTAAGGAGGAGCAACCTGCCATTTGGATATATCCTAGCTGTGTTTGTGCCCTCACTCATGGTCCAGACTTTTTTCAAATAGGACATGTAGTTTGTCTGCAGCGAGCGTTTTGGTAGAAACTGCGCCTCCCATTCATTATAATGGTAAATGACCACAGACAAGTGCGAACACCATCTTTGGACCTTGAGTGTGACGCGATCGGGAGGGAGAGGCGGTCGTGTTGGGGGCGGCGCGACACAGCTCGGGCCCGCCAGTGCCCCAACGGGGCCCTAGTATTATTATTATTATTATTTTTCCTCCGCTTTAAACTGGAAAATGGCCCACTTCCCACTGGCGAAAACTCATGAAATTTGGCAGGACGACCGGGCCTGGTGAAAAATTCGATATTCTGAAGTCGCCCAAACAATAAAACGCAAAATGGCTCCATAGCGCCCCCTAAGGTGAAAATTCACACTATTGACTGTCACGCCTTTACGCTTTGTCATATTGACACAAAAATTGACACACACATGTATCTCAATAAGATCTACAAAAAAGTCAGTGCGGGCGTATCTGTCAAATGTACGGTTAAAGGGTTATTTTGCATTTTTTGCCGATCCGCACACATTGGAATTTCGCTAACTCCTCCGAAGGCTTTCGTTCCAACGGCACCACATTTGCTCAGGCCAATCTACACCCCATGGCCATTAAAAGTTGTACAAATCATGACGCTGCACCCCACGGTTTACGTTCTAGGGGGCGCCAAAGATAACCCAAAAATCCACAGTCTTAAAAGTCTTGTAACTTTTTATTTTTGTCCTCACTGGCCTCCAAGTTCTCTAGGATGATGCAATGTCCAGCCATCAACACATTTGTGAAGGAATTTTTACTCCCCAAAAGAGCGCCCCCCAATGGCAGGAGAAAAAAGTCCATTTTTTCTTGTCTCCTAAGGCGAAAATACACATTGTTGACTGTCACGCCTTTACGCTTTGTCAAAATGACACAAAAATTGACACACACATGTATCTCAACACGATCTACGAAAAAGTCCATGCGAGCGTATCTGTTCAATGTACGGTTAAAGGGCTATTTCGCATTTTTTGCCGATTCGCACACATTGGAATTTCGCTAACTCCTCCTAAAGCTTTTGTCCCATCGGCTTCAAATTTGCTCAGGTCAATCTACACCCCATGGCCATTCAAAGTTGTACAAATCATGACGCTGCACCCCACGGTTTACGTTCTAGGGGGCGCCAAAGAGGACCCAAATATCCACATTTTTAAAAGTCTTATAACTTTTTATTTTTGTCCTCACTGGCCTCCAAGTTTTCTAGGATGATGCAATGTCCAGCCATCAACACATTTGTGAAGGATTTTTTTCTCCCCAAAAGAGCGCCCCCCCATGGCAGGAGAAAAAGTCAAGTTTTTCCTGCCCATCGCTCAATGGCTCAAAAGCATCGCTCTCTCGGCAAAACGGAAAGGAGGAGCAACTTGCCATTTGGATATATACTAGCTGTGTTTGTGCCCTCACTCATGGTCCAGACTTTTTTCAAAAAGGACATGGAGTTTGTCTGCAGCGAGCGTTTTGGTAGAAACTGCGCCTCCCATTCATTATAATGGTAAATGACCACAGACAAGTGCGCACACCATCTTTGGACCTTGAGTGTGACGCGATCGGGAGGGGTAGGCGGTCGCGCTGGGGGCGGCGCGACACGGCTCGGGCCCGCCAGTGCCCCAACGGGGCCCTAGTCTGGTTTTGCGGTCCGTGTCTGTGTTTTGGGGTTTATTTGTGGTAATTTGCCGTTGTTGAGGGAGAACTTGGCGGTGGCGCTGTGTAAACAGGAAGCCAGTTGTAACTTCGTTATTCTGTGACTTCACTAAATTCTCGGAAATCAAAATTTAGCATTTGACGGTGGTGGTGGTAGTCTATTTTCTTGATTCGCGTTCTGTGTCTGCATCGCAGACGGGCTCTTTTCTGGTTTTGAAATCTGTGTCGATTTTGCAGTGCAATTATTTTCTTGTTTCGCTGTCTGCGTCGGCATCGCAGAGGGGCTATTGTCTGATTTTGCGGTCTGTGTCCACATTGCAGTGCAATTATTGTCTTGTTGCGCTGTCTGCGTCGGCATCGCAGAGGGGCTCTTGTCTGGATTCGCGGTCCGCGTCTGTGTTTTTGGGTTTATTTGTGGTAATTTGCCGTTGTTGAGGGAGAACTTGGTGGTGGTACTCTATTTTCTTAATTCGCGTTCTGTGTATGCATCGCAGAAAGGCTATTTTCTGGTTTTGCGGTCTGTGTCGACATTGCAGTGCAATTATTTTCTTGTTTCGCTGTCTGCGTCGGCATCGCAGAGGGGCTATTGTCTGGTTTTGCGATCTGTGTCTGTGTTTTTAGGTTTATTGTGGTGTTTTGCTGTTGTTGAGAGAGAACTTCTGCTTAAACATGCATGCTAACCAAACTGTTGTGGCTAACATAGGCGTGCTGATTTGATATTTACACAGCGACGCTAACAAAGTAGCTAGTGTGCAACACTGTTAGCGGCGCTGTGTAAACAGTAAGCCAGTTGTAACTTAGTTATTCTGTGACTTCACTAAATTCTTGGAAATCATAATTTAGCATTTGACGGTCTATTTTCTTGATTCGCGTTCTGTGTATGCATCGCAGAAAGGCTATTTTCTGGTTTTGCGGTCTGTGTCGACATTGCAGTGCAATTATTTTCTTGTTTCGCTGTCTGCGTAGGCGTCGCAGAGGGGCTATTATCTGGTTTTGTGATCTGTGTCTGTGTTTTTAGGTTTATTGTGGTGTTTTGCTGTTGTTGAGGGAGAACATCTGCTTAAACATGCATGCTAACCAAACTGTTGTGGCTAACATAGGCGTGCTGATTTGATGTTTACACAGCGACGCTAACAAAGTAGCTAGTGTGCAACACTGTTAGCGGCGCTGTGTAAACAGGAAGCCAGTTGTAACTTCGTTATTCTGTGACTTCACTAAATTCTCGGAAATCATAATTTAGCATTTGACGGTGGTGGTGGTAGTCTATTTTCTTGATTCGCGTTCTGTGTCTGCATCGCAGACGGGCTCTTTTCTGGTTTTGAAATCTGTGTCGATTTTGCAGTGCAATTATTTTCTTGTTTCGCTGTCTGCGTCGGCATCGCAGAGGGGCTCTTGTCTGGTTTCGCGGTCCGCGTCTGTGTTTTTAGGTTTATTTGTGGTAATTTGCCGTTGTTGAGGGAGAACTTGGTGGTGGTACTCTATTTTCTTAATTCGCGTTCTGTGTCTGCATCGCAGACGGGCTATTTTCTGGTTTTGCGGTCTGTGTCGACATTGCAGTGCAATTATTTTCTTGTTTCGCTGTCTGCGTCGGCATCGCAGAGGGGCTATTGTCTGGTTTTGCGATCTGTGTCTGTGTTTTTAGGTTTATTGTGGTGTTTTGCTGTTGTTGAGAGAGAACTTCTGCTTAAACATGCATGCTAACCAAACTGTTGTGGCTAACATAGGCGTGCTGATTTGATGTTTACACAGCGACGCTAACAAAGTAGCTAGTGTGCAACACTGTTAGCGGCGCTGTGTAAACAGTAAGCCAGTTGTAACTTCGTTATTCTGTGACTTCACCAAATTATTGGAAATCATAATTTAGCATTTGACGGTGGTGGTGGTAGTCCATTTTCTTGATTCGCGTTCTGTGTCTGCATCGCAAACGGGCTATTTTTTGGTTTTGCGGTGCTATTATTATCTTGTTTTGCTGTCTGCGTTGGCATAGCAGAGGGGCTATTGTCTGGTTTTGCGATCTGTATCTGCGTTTTTAGGATTATTGTGGTGTTTCGCTGTTGTTGAAGGAGAATTTCTGCTGAAACATGCATGCTAGCAAAACTGTTGTGGCTAACATAGGCGTGCTGATTTGATGTCTACACAGCGATGCAAACAAAGTAGCTAGTGTGCAACCAAAATGTGTTAGCCTCACTGTTTAGTTATTCTTTTTGTATTTTTTGGTGCTTATATAACATAACACACGTTTAAATTTTGATATGAAGTTTTACAAATATAATGGGTATTACATGTATTATCTATACTTTCAGATGCCAAAACTGAAGGGTTGGCGTCGATCACAGGCCGCAACCAGGCGCCGCGCTCAGCGCGAGTTCCTGATTGTTGGTCCACAAAGCCACAGTGATGACGTGCCTACAGGTGTGTAACATTTTCTTTTAAATGTATCATTTTTTCTTCACGCGCTATATTGGAAACAGTTTCTTATTTCTTTGTATCTTGGAAAAACACATCCAAATCAGGTTTACTGTTTACATTTTACAATAATACATGTCAATGTTATCTGTTTAATAGGCACTGTTGGGACTGGTTATCGCCATCGCGTTAACCAGTGGCCAAAATCTGTGTTGACTGGTCGTCAACACAAATTGGTCATTCCTCCTGAGGTTCCTGACAAGAAGGTATGATACTGACACTGTTTTTTACCCTCACAACACAAACTTCAGCTGATACAGTATTTAATTAGTACTTCTCCCATTTTTCATCCTAGTTTGTTCTTATTGTCGGTGACTCTCACCTGCGCCCGTTTGTTGATGGGGTTGTGCCATTGCCTGAAGGACGGATGTCCTTTGGGTTCATGTCCACACCAGGGGCCTGCGCTGATGGACTGAGGACTGAGGTGGTACATGCTGCTGTGCCTCGCAATCCTGACTTGGTCATTGTCATGGCTCCTAGCAACAACCTCACAACCCAAGGGTCTCTTGAGAAGTCGTCAACAGATTTTGCTAAACTTCTCTCCACTGCCGTTGGGAGGTGGTTCAAGGTGGGGCTATGATGTCATGAACACATTTTGCAGTATCTCAATTAGTAGTTATGCTCTGTAATAACTCTTGTATTCCTTGTCCTTTTGGTGTGGTTGCTATTTTTAAAGGTAATTGTGTATGACTTTCCACCTCGGCTGAACCACCCTTTGGATCATCAGGAGCTGCTGCGGCAGGAATTCCGTCGAGTCGCAGCACGTATGGGTACGTTTTACAACACTTTAAATTCGCCTTCATGACAAAATTCTAAATGACAATAATATCATCATTAAACCAATCACATAAAACATCTACAGAAAACACAAACAAATTACATGTATTTTTTTAGAGTAACTCACAACTTTGTATATTTTATGGACACGGTGAAAGAATAATTGTCTTTTTCTCTTTGTAGTAAAATACACAAATTTGTACTAATGCTTCACTTTGTCTCACTTTACATTAACAGGCATTCGATATGTTTGCCCTGCTGCTGATGACTTCCCCCTGAGACGCCTTAAGCTGTGGTGCAGGGATTCTGTTAGTACAATCCCTACTCATCTGATGTTTCATATGGACTTCATAATAAATGCACAAATTTTTGCATCATGCAAATTTGTGATCATGAAAACTGTCTTGTCTTCTATATAGGTCCATCTCAGTGATGATGGTGGGTCGCCTATTCTGGGGCAGCGTCTCTGGCAGGCGGCCTACACTGAACTGGAGAGAGGTGATCCTGCATCAGTGCTGTCAGTGCAGCGCAGGCGCTCGCCCCCCCTGAGCACTGTCACACCAAAGGTGGTTGTGAGGGGAGAGGTACCTGCACCTCAACCATCCAACCCCTTTGAGTGGACAGTGTGTGGAAAGGTGCACAAGGTAAACATAATTCCTGTGTGTCTATATACATATAGTATATGTATTTAATACAGTATTGTTAATTCTCAACTTACTTATCACGGCAGAATCTCTCTGGCAACGAGGTGGAGGACTCTGCTCCATGCACTCAGCAGGTTTGACCTCCTTTTATATGACACAACTATCATGCAAAACCACTATCATCACAATTTCTGTATGGATTACACACATTTTCTTTGAAAAGAAACCCTTTTCTAAACTATTACTTTATTTATTCTATTTTTCTTTGTCTCTCCTTCTCATCCTAGTTGTCAACAGTTGGGTTGCGAGACTGTTTTGTGCGTCTCAACCCTATCCATTTCAGTCCACACCTGCTGGATGCCATGGAGAAGATTTCGCCATCCCAGCTTCCCAACCCTGTTCCACAAGATGATGAGGTCAGTGAAAATGTCAAACTACAGCAACACTTTGACTGTTCATTCATAAAATGTTTTGTGTTTCACAACAACAATGCTTAGAAGAAATATTTTTTTATTCAGATGCCACGTGTGGAACCACGCAGGACTGTGGTTGCATCTAGGAGGATCCCTACCAGGAAGCAGGTTTGTTTCTTCATTGGCACACATGGTGTATTAATATGCAAGCACGCAGAGCTAGGTTTGCATCTAAACCAAGTTTATCATACAGAACGGAATAATAACATTAAGAAATGTACTTGGCCCTTAATTTCAAAACATGTTTTTCTTTATTCGTACACAAATAGGATGTTTAGTATCATCAGTTAATGATTCTACTTTCAACTATAAAAGTACAGTTTTTTCAATTTGACCTTTTTATCAATGACAATATATTAATGCACAAACTTTTGTGTGAAGGGAAGGGCCTTGCGTGTCCAGAGCCCAGCTGACCCACAGACGACTGAGGTGCCTCCTGCTACAGAAGTCACTTCACCTGAGGTGGGCTTGGAGAGGGTGGCAGAGCTCCAGACGTGCCCGAGCGTGGTGACGGTGAACACTGCCATCCTGTCAGCACCCCAGCCAGATGGAGGCACCCAGGTGGAACAGGTAAGTATGCATAAACGTCTTCCTTCCCCCCCTCTTGTGTTTGGTGATTTTGATCGCTCACCTGTGCAGGTTAGCAGTATGGAGACTGAGGCAGTACAGTTTCTGTGCACTGAGATTGAGATTGAGAGTGAGATGTCTGACCCAGGTTGGGTAAGAGACAGTGTCCAAGGATCATTTCACCAGGGAAGCGACTTATTAAGTAATCACGGAACACAGTGTATGGCAATTGGGCTGGCCAGCGTTGCCAAACACAGTGTCAAAAGCGTTTTCTCGTGGAGTGTGGCTGATCTCGACACAGTTTTGCTCTGTGGGGATCAATTGTACACATATCTGAGAGATAATGACAAAATCAGTGGCGGGGCTGATTTTTTGTGTATTCCTGATTTGCCTGCTTCACACACAATTGATGGCATGGAGTTTGACTTTGAGTATGGTGATTACATGTCTGGACTCATCAACCAGACTGATGGATCACCCATTGCACCTGGGTTGACAACATTGCTGCATAGTCTACAAATTCTGTTTGCCAAATATGACACATGCTTTTTGACATTGCATTGCAGCACATGTGTTGTCATTCGTGAGAATAATATGTTTGCTGTTGTTGATTCTCATGCTTGAAATGCTTTGGGCCTGGTGGATCCTGATGGCAGAAGTGTTGTTGCATATTTCCATAACTTGCAGGAACTGTATACACATGCATTAGCCTTGGCTGCATCACAGCATGTGAGCAACCAGGCTTTTGAAGTTGCTGGTGTGCGTGCAATCCCCAGAATGTCAGCAATTGAAAGTATGTGTTTGCCATCCAGCTCAAGAGTACATACTGAAATACTGAGCAAAATGAAGAGTGTCTATGCAGATGTACAGCAGGAAGTGTCACACTCCAAGCAGGGGTGTTCATCCAGTACATCAGTACATAGGAAGCAAGGCTTGAAACGTCAACGCTTTGTGCACGCTCCTGCTGCCAAGAGAGCAAAGACGAACAATTTTGGTGATGATGTATTCATTGTTAAAGACACTAACAACAAGAGTGCAAATAATAGTAATGATGTTGTGTGCATTGATGATGCAATAAGCAAGACTGACGACGATGTGCTGTGTGTTGGTAATGGAGCCCAACAAGATTTAGTGTTTAACCCCCTTCAGTTAGAGGTTGCCAAAGTTTTGTGCAACACTTTAGGGATAGAATGTCAGAAAGTTGATGTGGAAGGATTTGTAGCAGGCATATTAGGACCTCCATGCAAGAAGCAGCCTATTGTCGGCGATGGCAATTGCTTCTTCAGAGCTGTGAGTCATGTTTTGTCTGGTAGTGAGAGGTTTCACAGGAAAGTCAGGTTGGCAGTTTGTAAACACATTGAATGTCATCCTGGATCATATGAGCACATTCTGAGAAATGAATTTACCTCTGTCAAAGAATATGTCAACATATCCAGAATGCGATATGTGGGTAGTTGGGCCACAGAAGTGGAGATTCAGGCTGCAGCAGATTGTTTCGGGGTTAGCATTTTTACCTACATTGACGATCGATGGCTTCAATACAGTTGTCAAGGTCGACAATTATCAGAACAGGCAGTGTATTTGGAGAACTGTAAAAACATCCATTATGAGGCTGTTGTATGTGTTCGACAACCTAATGTGGACTGTGATTGCTGTGATTTGTGTAAAGGTGCTGTTGCACATAGTACCAACTATGGTTTGACACAGGTGAGCAAAGATGCGCCATATAACCTCAGGACAGGATGTCAGGACTTAAAGCAACAGAGTCATCAGATTTTAAGTCCTTCACATCATGAAAAAAGGTTGTCAAAATATCTTAAAAAGAAGAAGTTTTTGCAAATGAAAATTAACTACCACAAAAACTTCTTGGATTACAACAGACGTAACCAAAATGTTAGGAATAGATATAAGCACAATCTGTTGTATCAACAGAAACTCAAGGCTTTAAGTAAGTTAAAATACTTAGATGAGGTGCATCAACAAGATGTTAAAAACAGAGGCAAAATTAAGTATAGAGACGATGAGACCCACAGACAAATTGTTAAAAATAGAAGCAAGGACAGAAGCAACATGAAATATAGGGACAATGATACCCACAGAAAAATTGTTAAAAATAGAAGCAAGGACAGAAGCAACATTAAATATAGGGACGATGATACCCACAGAGAAATTGTTAAAAACAGAAGCAAGGACAGAAGCAAAATTAAATACAGGGATGATAATACCCACAGAGAAATTACTAAACACAGAAGCAGGGAAATAAGTAAGGTTAAATATGGAAATGCTGCATTTAGGCATAAAAAAATAAACTTAGTAAAGACAAATTACCACCAGAACCCAGAACACTTCCTTGCATCTAAGAAACTTAGAATATTAGAAAGGAAGGTAAAACTAGAACAGATGGACTTTGTAATTGAGCAGTTTTTGGAAAAAATCAAAGATGGGCCAGCCTTTGTGTGCAGTGTGTGCCATAGACTGTTGTTTAAACACCAGGTTTCGAGTTGTAAGATAGACAAGTACAGTAGCGACCCAAATACAGCTCGTGTCGCAGCTAGATGTATTAAAGATGTGTATGTGCATAAATGTATGTCTTCTTGTGCCGTACCATGTGTTTTGAAAGCTTCCCCTCGTGGTAGTTTGTGGATTTGTCATTCATGTCATGGCAAGGTCAGTAAAGGTGACGAGCCAGCTGAGAGCGCATCCAATAATCTGACCGTTGATCCGATTCCACCTGAGTTGGCTTGTTTAAATCGCCTAGAGTCGCATTTAATTGCACTCCATATCCCCTTTTTGAAGATGGTAGCTCTTCCTAGAGGTGGTCAAAATGGTGTTCATGGGCCGATTGCATGTGTTCCAGCCAACATTGTCCAAACCAGTAACGCGTTGCCACGTTCAAACATGGAAGGTTCAGTTATTCCCGTTAAACTGAAGCGCAAGCTTACTTATAAAGGACATTATGCATACGAGTATGTTGACCCTATGCATATCAAGAAAGCACTGCATTATCTGAAAGAGAACAATCCGTTCTACAAAGATGTGCAGTTCAATGATGAATGGATAAATGAATTTTGCAGGGATGAGAGTGCTGACAAAGAGCAGCAGAGTATTGTTGATGAACAGGGAGGATCAAATGCAGAGAGCTCTGAGGCATCTGCAGCTGAGGCAGCTGCAGCTGAGGAAGAACTTCTGCATGATCGGCAGCAGCATTGCATGTTTCAAGACACATGCTCAATGCCTGTTGATATTGGCCAGGAAGCGCTGGACCAATATTTTGATGGTGTTTTGAACTTGGCTCCAGCTGATGGACAGAACCCTGTGAAGGTTTTGACAACAAAGGAGAACGAGGCCAAGTGTTTCCCTGTGTTGTTTCCAAAAGGCCGTGGAACATTTCTTGATAATAGAAAATTTTCTCTGACTCTGTTCCGCTATTTGAGCAACAGGCTATATCATGCTGATGGTAGGTTTGCGCAGAATATTGAGTTTATTTTTTATGCTTGTTACATGCTTGAGTTACACCAAGTCATGTCCAGTGTGTCAATTGCGTTGAGAAAAGGGAAAGCCAGTAAGGTCAGAACAAAGATTAGTGATGTATTGAAAGATGAAGACAACCTGCGTGACCTTTTAAATCATGATGATGGGTACCGGTTTTTAAAAGCTGTAAGGGGTACTCCAGCATTTTGGCAGGGAATTCAGAAGGATTTGTTAGCATGCTTGCGACAGCTTGGCAAACCTGCATGGTTTTGTTCATTTTTTGCAGCAGATTTGAGGTGGAAGGAATATTTAGAGAACATTCTTAGGGCAGAGGGGCGAGCACAGACATTTGAGGACCTGGAGTGGGCAGACAAGTGCGACCTGTTGCGTCGTAATCCTGTACTCGCCGCTCGCATGTTTGATTATCGCTGGCATCTGTTTTTGAAAGAAGTGTTGATGTCTCCAGCAAATCCAATTGGCAAAATCCTCGACTACTTTTACAGGGTGGAGTTCCAGCAGCGTGGCTCTCCACACGTTCATTGTCTGTTTTGGATTGAGAATGCCCCTGTAATTGATGTAAACACAGATGATGAGGTTGTTCAGTTTATTGATAGATATGTTTCATGTGAACTACCCAATAACACTGATGATTTACATGAGGTTGTTTCTTCAGTGCAGCAGCATTCAAAGCGGCACTCCAAAACTTGTAAAAAAGGTGGAAAACAGTGCCGCTTCAATTTCCCAAAACCAGTGTCTGCTAGGACTTTCATTTCCAGGGCATATAAGGAGGTTGAGATGGAGTGCGTGTGTCAGCGCAACGTCCATAACATGGTAGAACAGTGCATTTGTGGCAAGGAAGAAAATGAGAAGAAGCACAAGCAGGAAGGGGAATTTGCTGTTAAGGTTTTTGAATTAATAGCTAAAGCGTTGTCAGACGAGAACTGCACAATTCAAACTGCAGATGAGCTATTTGCAGGTATAGGTATACGACAGGAGACATTTGAGGCAGCATACAGGAGGTTAGGGAAAAAGACAGAGGTGATTATGCGACGGCAGGTTACTGATACGTGGATCAACCCACATTCCAAGACTCTGTTAAAAGCTTGGAATGCAAACATGGACATCCAGTATGTGACTGATGCTTATGCTTGTGTAGTCTACATCATTTCATACATCTCTAAAGCAGAAAGACAGATGGGATTGATGTTAGCAAATGCACAGCGTGAAGCATCTAAGGAAGACAACCTCAGTGCCAAACAGGCTTTGAAAAGGCTAGGAAGTGTTTACCTTCACAACCGAGATGTTGGAGCTCAGGAGGCAGTCTACAAGCTCAGCAACATGCACTTAAAAGAGTGCTCTCGGAAGGTGGTTTTTGTACCGACAGGTGACAATGTTGTCAGGATCAGCAAGCCATTGACTGTGTTAAAAGACATGGCTGCTGAATCCACAGAACAGATGTGGATGATCAACTTTGTTGACCGTTATAAAAACAGACCCAGAGATCATATATTTGAAGCCATGTGCCTTGTCCATTTTGCTGCTGAGTATCGTGTGCTCTACAAAGGTGAAAAATCAAAAAACCGAATTGAACTTGATAACGGCTGTGGGTTTGTGTTGAGAAGAACCCGTACGCAGCCTGCTGTTGTAAGGTACGCAAGATTCTCTGAGACTAAAAGTCCAGAGTTATTTCACCAAAGCATTTTGCAGCTGTTTCTTCCGTATCGTACAGAAGAACAGCTAAAGCCAGAGGGATTTGTCACTTTTGAAGACTTTTACAAAACTGGCCGTGTCATCATTGCTGATGGACAGCTACGTTCAGTGAAGTCAGTTGTGGACTCGAATCGCTGCAATTATGAAATAGATGCTGATGACTTAGATGAGGTTTTGGATTCTGTAAATTTTGATGGTCCTCTAGAAGATGCGTGGGGGCAGTTGTTCCCACAGCAAGAAACTGAACGCCTGGAGTCAATCCAGGAACGGGCAGAGCAGATAGAGGTAGACAATGACCCAGTGGAACATATTCCTGATCTGGCTGGGGGTGTAGAGCAGGCTAAGGTAACTAAGTGCAACAATTTAAGTAGAAGCGAGGGATTGGCATTATGCAGGTCTTTAAATGATGACCAGATGCGTGTGTTAAACAAGGTCCATCAGTGGTGCGTTGTTAAAGCAGCAGGTACAAACCCGGACCCCTTTCATGTGTTTGTAACAGGTGGTGCTGGCGTTGGAAAATCGCATTTAATCAGAGCAATTCAGTACGAGGCCACAAGGTTATTGTCACCAATGTGTCGACAACCTGACAATATCAGTATTTTGTTGACTGCACCAACAGGGATTGCTGCATATAATCTGCATGCAACCACCCTGCACAGTACATTTAGCATAGGGAAAGATGTTCGCCTCCCTTATGTGCCAATAGGTGAGGAAAAGTTAAACACATTGAGAATGAAATATTGTGATCTCCAAATCTTGATAATTGATGAAATTTCTATGGTGGATCACAATATGCTCACTTATGTGCACGGCCGACTTCGCCAAATTAAACAGACAGGCATTCACACTCCATTTGGAAATGTGAGCGTCATGGCAGTGGGGGATTTTTATCAGTTGCCTCCGGTGAAAGGCAAACCGTTATACATGGAACCACTTGGAGTTGATCTTTGGAGCACTCATTTTAAGGTTGTCAAGTTGACAAAAGTAATTCGGCAGACAGACGAAGATTTTGCCGGACTACTGAATCGAGTTCGGACGCATCCAAAAGACTCAGACATGTTGCAAAGTGATATCACCACTTTGAAACAGCGAGAAACTGGTGAAGAATGCTCAGGTTTGCATATATTTGCCACAAATAGCCAGGTCAATGAGCACAACTTTGAGCAGCTGCAAAGAACATGTCCAGATTACCATGTAATACAGGCTCAGGATTATATAAACAACTCAAAAACAGGCAAACTGGAATTGAAAAAGGGCTATCATACACTAACATATAACACATGTTTAGATGCAACATTGTTATTGGGTACTGGCTCTCGTGTCATGTTGACAAAAAATTTGGATTTGGCTGACGGCTTGGTTAATGGTGCATGTGGCACAGTAACAGATGTAGTTTGTGTTGAATATGAAAAGTTTCCTCAGTGTATTTTTGTGAAATTTGATGATGAAGTAGTTGGTGTTGAGAGGAGGAAACAGTCAGGAAGGGTGTCAGATCATCTTGTTGGTTCCACGGCTATTACACCGGAGGAAGAAAGAGTGACAAAGAAGGGAGGTATGCGCCGTCAATTTCCGCTTCGTCTCGCCTGGGCCTGTACTGTACACAAAGTACAAGGCCTCACAGTTGATACAGCCGTAGTCAGTATGAAAAAGGTGTTTTCTGCTGGTCAGGCTTACGTGGCTTTGAGTCGTGTCAGGACTCTTATGGGATTGATCATTCAAGATTTCAATCCCAAAAAAATCTATTGTCGGCCAGAAATCGCTCAGGCCACTTCAAGGATGGCTTCGTTCCTAGAACCTATCACCTGGCAAGGGAGAGTGGAGGACACTTTGACAGTGTTCCTCATGAATGTTCAGGGTTTGAGACGCCATGTGTCTGACTTGGCTCAGCACACACAGCATTTGCAGCCAGAGTGCATTGCTGTGACTGAGACGTGGTTGCATCCAGGTTGTTCCTCAGAGACACTCGAGATAGCCAACTACTCTCTGCATAGTTGTCCACGAGCTCTGGCATATGATGGTCAAACTGCCCCCTTTGCCTCTTTGCAGGCAAAAGAACATGGGGGAGTTGCAATGTATTGTGATGGAATTATGCAGTTTGCAATCATCAAGGTGCCTTGTTTCAATGTGGAATG